CACTTTTTGGGCCCACTGTCATAAACAAAAGAATTAAAAAAAAATAAAAATATGAATCACAAGGAATCCATTGCCTCAACTTCATGGGCCCCACAATTCCTTCATTACAATTACATTGAAGAACAAAATTTAGAGTTCTGCAACTTTTCTCCATTACACGCCTCTTTCTCGCGTGAAGAAGACGATTCGGCTGACACACAATCTTTCACCCTTCTTTCTCTCAACTGATGATCAACGCTAATATTCCGGTGAAATCTACTGATATCTGAAAAAGAGGAGAGGAAGAAGAATAAAAAAGATAGGTAATTTAACAATTTTTGGGATTTCTTGTTTTGATTGAATAATTTTTGGAGTAGAAACTTCAAAATTTTGATTTGGGAGTTCACAAATTTAATTCATGATATTACTGAAAATCATCAAATATTGGACTTCAAAATGTTCTAATTTGAAATCCAACTAAAATTTCGTTTGATTTGGGTTTTGGCTAAGATTTCAAATTTTGTTGAAATCCATACTTCATCCAACTAAAATTTATGATTCATTTTGGTATTGTCTAGTTTGAATTCCCTGTATTTTGCTAAGACTCAATTGCAACATTCAAGGGTTATCTTTTAATATCGATGCAATGAAGTTAAAAGCCAAGAAGAATACTAGTAACAAAAGTTTCTCTTTGTCTACTATGTTATTTGTTGGGTAGTTCAAATGGTTTGTTCAAGAACATGAGCTTACCACCACAAATAGGAGCACACAATTAAATCAATGTGTTTGCTGCTGATTGAGTTTTGGATGGATAGGAAATGTTCTTATGTTTGGTGGAGGAGTATTATTTTGGTGGGAGTTTGTGGTTATGAATTCTTTTTTTATTCTTCTTTTTAGATGAATTTTATCATGTCTCAGGCTCTGTTTTGCTTATTACTTGGAAGCTTTGCTATTAACATTTGTTATATGGTAGCTTGTCTCCATTTCCATAGTCAAGCTTTTTACATGTTATCATTTATTATTTTTCTTGAATAAGATTTTATCTTTTGCCAATCCAAATTATAAATAAAAAAAATGCATGATTGTTCAAGGAAAGCTCCAAATTTGCTATTTTGATACAGTAGTAGCTCTAAGATTGTTCATAGCTAAGTTTTATCTTTTTATTTATTGTTTTTTTTTTTTTATCTCCCTCTTTTAGGCATGCATATTTGGATATTGCTTTTATCTAGTTGCATTATTTTTACAGGTTGTGTAAGTGAAGGTGGTGACTACTTTGATATCAGCTATCAATAATGAAATCCTATTTTCATGTGAGAGCAACAATTACAGTTGTAGATTTGGAGAAGACAAGCTAAAGGAGGCTGGATTTTGCTTTTGAGATGAAGGAATGTTTTTTTTTTTTTTTTTTTGTGCTCTTTTTTGCAAAATGATGTAAATTTTTTGTTTGTACTCTCAATGAAGTAGTTATTTTTGTTTGTGAGATGAAGGCATTTTTTTGTATATTTTATAATGAAATTATTTTGCCTTCTTATATTGTAATGAAACAGTTATGAGATTGTAATGAATGCTTCATGTTGTAATAAATATTGTTCTTAGTGGCTAAGATGGTTTTGTTGTGTGTTGTAGTTTTGAATAAATGAAATGTGCTATGGTGGTTGTGATTTTATTGTTTATTGTTCACAAAAAACATGCCGAAATGCTGTTGAAATATTGTCAGAATAGATTAATATTGTCAGAATATTGCCGAAATGCTGTCAAAATGTGCTATTTTTTTGTTCACATGTCGCTGAAATGGTACAGAAATGCTGTCGAAATGGTTAAACATATATCAAACAAAACAAAACAAACAATCTTCATTAACTTCAAATAGAGATTCAACAGTATCACTTGAGTTCAAATAGTAGTCACAATGTGTAATGAAATTAAAAAAATACAACTGTGATGTCAATGCTCTTCACTTTTGTCATCTTTATGAATCACAAGGAATCCATTGCCTCAACTTCATGGGCCCCACAATTCCTTCATTACAATTACATTGAAGAACAAAATTTAGAGTTCTGCAACTTTTCTCCATTACACGCCTCTTTCTCGCGTGAAGAAGACGATTCGGCTGACACACAATCTTTCACCCTTCTTTCTCTCAACTGATGATCAACGCTAATATTCCGGTGAAATCTACTGATATCTGAAAAAGAGGAGAGGAAGAAGAATAAAAAAGATAGGTAATTTAACAATTTTTGGGATTTCTTGTTTTGATTGAATAATTTTTGGAGTAGAAACTTCAAAATTTTGATTTGGGAGTTCACAAATTTAATTCATGATATTACTGAAAATCATCAAATATTGGACTTCAAAATGTTCTGATTTGAAATCCAACTAAAATTTCGTTTGATTTGGGTTTTGGCTAAGATTTCAAATTTTGTTGAAATCCATACTTCATCCAACTAAAATTTATGATTCATTTTGGTATTGTCTAGTTTGAATTCCCTGTATTTTGCTGAGACTCAATTGCAACATTCAAGGGTTATCTTTTAGTATCGATGCAATGAAGTTAAAAGCCAAGAAGAATACTAGTAACAAAAGTTTCTCTTTGTCTGCTATGTTATTTGTTGGGTAGTTCAAATGGTTTGTTCAAGACCATGAGCTTACCACCACAAATAGGAGCACACAATTAAATCAATGTGTTTATTGCTGATTGAGTTTTGGATGGATAGGAAATGTTCTTATGTTTAGTGGAGGAGTATTATTTTGGTGGGAGTTTGTGGTTATGAATTCTTTTTTTATTCTTCTTTTTAGATGAATTTTATCATGTCTCAGGCTCTGTTTTGCTTATTACTTGGAAGCTTTGCTATTAACATTTGTTATATGGTAGCTTGTCTCCATTTCCATAGTCAAGCTTTTTACATGTTATCATTTATTATTTTTCTTGAATAAGATTTTATCTTTTGCCAATCCAAATTATAAATAAAAAAAATGCATGATTGTTCAAGGAAAGCTCCAAATTTGCTATTTTGATACAGTAGTAGCTCTAAGATTGTTCATAGCTAAGTTTTATCTTTTTATTTATTGTTTTTTTTTTATCTCCCTCTTTTAGGCATGCATATTTGGATATTGCTTTTATCTAGTTGCATTATTTTTACAGGTTGTGTAAGTGAAGGTGGTGACTACTTTGATATCAGCTATCAATAATGAAATCCTATTTTCATGTGAGAGCAACAATTACAGTTGTAGATTTGGAGAAGACAAGCTAAAGGAGGCTGGATTTTGCTTTTGAGATGAAGGAATGTTTTTTTTTTTTTTTTTTGTGCTCTTTTTTGCAAAATGATGTAAATTTTTTGTTTGTACACTCAATGAAGTAGTTATTTTTGTTTGTGAGATGAAGACTGCATTTTTTTGTATATTTTATAATGAAATTATTTTGCCTTCTTATATTGTAATGAAACAGTTATGAGATTGTAATGAATGCTTCATGTTGTAACAAATATTGTTCTTAGTGGCTAAGATGGTTTTGTTGTGTGTTGTAGTTTTGAATAAATGAAATGTGCTATGGTGGTTGTGATTTTATTGTTTATTGTTCACAAAAAACATGCCGAAATGCTGTTGAAATATTGTCAGAATAGATTAATATTGTCAGAATATTGCCGAAATGCTGTCAAAATGTGCTATTTTTTTGTTCACATGTCGCTGAAATGGTACAGAAATGCTGTCGAAATGGTTAAACATATATCAAACAAAACAAAACAAACAATCTTCATTAACTTCAAATAGAGATTCAACAGTATCACTTGAGTTCAAATAGTAGTCACAATGTGTAATGAAATTAAAAAAATACAACTGTGATGTCAATGCTCTTCACTTTTGTCATCTTTCTGCAATGTTGGAGTTTTAGCTTGTACTATATCATTCATTGTCAACATTCCATTGAAATTGTTGGGATGCATAACTCCTTCCATCTCTAAGTCTGGCCTCCAAGATGGAGATGGATGATGATGACCCTAATAATAAATAAAATAAAATAAAAAGTGTTACTCTTATTAAAGAATACACTAAACTAAGCTATGATTTACTAATATAATTAAATTAGTGCATACCTCGAATGGATACATGCCAACCCCTTGTCTGAACATACTTGCTTGAAATGACGAACTTCCTCTTTGTAGTAGATTTGGTTGACCGAAATATGGACTCATCCCAATGATACTTGGATGACTAGTCATGTTTGGCCACATGCCCAATCCCTTGTTATAGTCATAACTTTCCTGTCCGATATGCAGTGACGGCTGCATTTCAGAATTCTACAACCCAAAATTTAAAGCCATAACTCACTCTTCCTAATGGTTAAAGTCATATTTTAAAGCTACTACCAACTATTTATGATACAAATATTTTAAAGTCAAACCTTTTCACCCTTTCTAAAGTTACTACCAACTATTTATGATACAAACATTTTACTTACATGTAAGTGAATATTTTCCTCTGTCACAAGTTCAACAACTCTTGCACCATGGATATTCCCATTGTCCTGCAGCTCCTACACAAATGTAAATTAATCAAAGTTAGCAATTATTAAGAGCAATAGTATAACCATTATAAGTAATCAATAAAATTCATTAACACTACAACCTTCTCTAGATTTCTCACAATATGTTTGTGCACATTTTCCTTGCAAGTTTGGCTATGAATCTTTTTTTTTCCTTCTTTTTTTTTCTTAGTAACTTTTTCAACCATAGATTGCTTTCTTTTAAATGGTGGGCACCCTTTTGAATGAGCTAGCAAGGGATCAAGTATGTTTGTGCTCACTTTTGAAATTCCAATGCCATCTCCACATGACGTAGACCCATTTCGAGTACGTACAGAAATTTGTTATCGCTTCGGCAACTATCTTGCTTCATACATACGCGAAACTCACATATTCTTTCTATGAACTTCTCACTCCAATCTTCTGACACTGCATCCAAATCCGCAACCTCATAGAAAACATTACACATTTTATCAAATCGGCGTGCTTCACGTTTGAGAGCTCAGTTGTCATAACTGATTCGTACTTTTGTATGGCTCCTTTTAACATTTTTGGACCATCCTTTCAAAATGTACTTATCCGGTATTTGATCAACCTTCCTGTGAATGAACACCACAATTTGATGCCTACACAATATTCCCCTATATTCAAATAACCGACAATTACAATAAACCTCATTAGTATCTTCATCAAAGCACACATTAAAAGATACACGACGACGACTTTCTCCAAATAATATATCTTCATCCACTTCATATTTTGAAATGTAAGCATCTTTCTTATATGAAGATAAATCACAAGGAATCTTCCTCATTAGCTCTTGCTGGAACTCTTTAAATTTTGCCGTTGTATAAGCACTTTGAAATTGCTTCTCCATTTCATAACCAACCATACATGGGATGCAAGAGTTGAAAGAATTAAATTCTTTATTGTTCTCATTTTCTACCTTTTTTGCCAAAGCATATTCATATTGTTCTACAAATTGTTTCAATGTGGTCTTGGAATTAACATACCCATCAAAAAATGCATGCTTGCTTTCACTACGCTGCGTGGTTGACATTCCTGCCCAAAAAGTATCTTTCACAAAGGCAGGCACCCAACGATGCCTTTCATCATACAAGCTAAATAACCATTTATTGCTTTGAAGTTTATACTTTTCAATGAATTTGCCCCAACTTTCTTCAAATTCTCCTATAGTTAAGGAATCATAAACAACATTTTTCATTGAAAACTTGATTCTTTCATATTGATTGTAACCTCTCAATTTCTCAGGTAGCTTTTTCATGATATGCCACAAACACCACCGATGTCGTGCATTAGGAAAAACAACCTCTATAGCATTTTTCATTGCTTGATCTTGATTCGTAATGATTGCAGAAGAAGGACATCCAGACATGCATGTGAGCCATGACTGAAATAGCCATGTAAAGGTCTCTGTGTCTTCACCTGATCATGGTTCACTCCTACGAAAGGAGCAAATGGCATTGCATATTTGTTAACTAAGTATGTTGTGTCATAGGTAACTACATCACCAAACTCTTTAAATGCAGCTCTACTCCTTACATCTGCCCAAAATACATTCCTTAATCGGCCTTTTTCATCTAAATCCATCATGTGAAAGAATTCAGAATTGTCAGCTTGCATTTTCAAAAAGTAATTATGCATTGTTGTAGCATCTCCTTCTCCAAGCTCTATACGTCTGACCCTATCCATATGATTCCTGTAATCTTTCTCTAAATATGTCAATTTCTTATGCCCTCCTGCCTGAACCACTAATGAATTAAAACTCTTGTTCATTCTAATATCGGCTTTAGCATGTAATTCAAGCGTCATTTTCACAGCTGAATTGAGAACCCTATGGCATCTATAAAATCGAGCTTTTCCTGGACTCACCCCATGATTATGGTCAAGAACCATAGATCTCAAAATCCACTTTCCATCACCTAACAGATTCGCACAAATCTTAGCTTTGCAATCCGTTTTTGATTGTGGATGCAATTGATGGAGTTTGCTTGATTTAATCTTTGGCTTTCCACTATGAGTACAAGCAACTGTCACATATCTCACCTCACCTCCTACTTTTTTAGAGCTTTTTATACACATGCCAAAGCCTTTTTCCATCGCATACCTTTGATAGAATTGAACAAGGTCATCAATGGAATCAAACAACATTCCTACTTTAGGATCTTCTACACTTTTTGCTTTCTCTATTTCAATCTCATTATGACCTTCATTTAAGCCAACACTTTCAGAACCACTTGATACTTCCTCCATGTGTCTGTATTATAATATATAGAATAATCAATGAACAAAACAAAAACAACATAAATTAGAAAGTCTACTTTGTTAAACCAGTCTTCTTCAATTAAAAAGTAACATATTCATACATCTAACTGTTAACTAGAATATGGAAATACTTCTTTAGCAACACTTGTATAAAAAATTATATTCAATTACTAATGTATCAAAACCAATTCAATATTTTTTATGCATATACATTAGCCCCTCTCGAACAAAATCCATCGTTCCGCCCCTAGTGGTATTGGTTATAATTGAGTTATGAGAGCTCTTTAATTATGTTTTAAAGGTGTTTGGTTTTGATCCATTAAATTATGACAGAAAGTTATTTGATCATAATATGATACACTCTTTTTGAGGGATATATATATATATATATTATATAGTATTACCCATGTTTTAAACCTCTTGTTTACAAATTATGTATACAACAGAATTATGCCCAATCCCAATTTAAAAGCAATAAAAGCATATGGGCATCTCGTATATATATTTTTTCAAGATCATCCCCACATACACTTTGAATTGAAACGATCAGGACAAAAATAATAAACAAGAGAACCAGCCATACTGACAAATCTAGTTGAACAAAAATTGAGCACTAATAGCCTTCATATTTTAAATAAAACAGGAAGCAACAGTGAATGATTTACCGAAATCAACCAAAATCAGTAGGCAATAAAGAGGCCAGGGAAAGAACCTTCGTTCGATTCTTCTCTTGGGTTTAATTTATCATTGATTCAGTCGATTACCACAGATGTGAGAGAGACATAGTCAAACCCACGAAGAAAGAGAACTTGAGAGATGAACGAATACTCAGTTCACCAAAACGACATGAAGAAAGGAAGTCGAAGATTTCGCAACTTTTCAGACGACTCTGCAAATTCTTATTTCCTTTTTTTTTTTCTAATTCTTTTGTTTATGGCAGTGGGCCCAGGAAAGTGATGTGGAATGCCATGTAAGGTTTCTGTAGGCTTGTTAGTAAGAATATAAGTAAACGTAGCATTATTGATAATAGACATAAATTTATCTAATCAAGCCGACATCTACTCAAGTTTGATTAATAAGTAACATTAGTTTAGGTTAGATACCAGGGCTGATTTTGAAGTCAACTCAATCAGGACAGGGCTGTGACAATCCCGTTAGGTTTGTATCATTTTTATTTTGATAATTTAAATTATTCATATTATAAAATTTGTTGAGTATACCATTCATATAAAATGTTAATGTATACATGGTATATATTCCTACATATATTAGGTATTGATTTCCTAGATATATTAGGTGTTGTCATAGTTAGGTCTCTTATATGATACTCTTTCTCATAGTTAGATTTCTAGTAGGATACTCTTTCTTAGCCTATATATAGAGGCTTTCTATTGTATAGAACAATTGCATTCAATATAATTCATTCAATATAATACATATTATTTCTCTCTCTCTTTACTATTCTAACATGGTATCAGAGCTATAGGTTAAACTCTTTGTGTTCTTCGCCTTACCGGCGGGCGGCAACCTTGCCTTGGCCGCCTGCCGGACCTCAACCTATTCCGTTGTCATATTTTCTTGTCAGTATCGTTTCGTGGTGATCTCTTCCTTTATTCGTTGGTTTATTCTTACCCAAAATATCTCTATCATATTTTTTTTCCTTTTTTATTTTTTACTCGCAATACATTTTTTTTTTCCTCCACTCTATCTTTTCCTCTACTTCAATCTCAAATTGGTTTCTATCTTCAAACCTATTTGAGTTTGAGGGGGGGGTATTATACCTATAACATGGTGAACATGGTTATAGACCATGCAAACCACCTAGCCGCTTCCTTTGGCGCACAATCCAAGCCGCACTCTCTAGCGTACAACCCAAGCCGTCCTTCTCTGGCGCACAATCCAAGCCGCTTTCTCTGGCGCACCATCAAACTTGCCCCACGGCGCACCATCCAAGCTGCCTTCTGGTGCACTCAATCATCTGTTGCCATCATCGTTCAGCACCACGTCATAAGTTATGTGTGTACCACGCTTGCTGGTTCAACATCCAGTTTTCTACATCGGTCCGACATGACCTCTTTAAATTGTCCCGACATTGATTCCAGTTAGCTCCTATATCGGTCCGGCATGACCCCTTCAAACTGTCCCGACATTGATTTCGGTTAGCTCCTACATCGGTCTGGCATGACCCCTTCAAACTGTCCTGACATTGATTCCGGTTAGCTCGTACATCGGTCCGGCATGACCCCTTTAAACTGTCCTGGCATTAGTTTTAGCCAGTTCTTACAATGGTCCGACATGACTATAAACTGTCTCTCGGCATTAGTTCCAACCAATTTCTATATTGGTCCAGCATGACCTTAAATTGTCTTGGCATTAGTTTCAACCAGTTCCTACAATGGTCCGACACGACCATAAACTGTCTCCCAGCTTTAGTTCCGGTTTCTGATCTATTTCAAGAGCCCTTGCGCTCCCGTTCGAATTTTGCTATTTTTGCCTTTTATTTTATTTAGTTTTATTTCATGTTTTAATTTCTCTCTCCAAACTCAAGATGTTTATCCTCCTTGAGTTTGAGGAGATGTTAATATATATGTAGTATATATTCTTACATATATTAGGTATTGATTTCCTAGATATATTAGGTATTGTCATAGTTAGGTCTTTTATAGGATACTCTCCTAGTAGGATACGCTTTCTCAGCCTATATATAGAGGCTTTCTATTGTATAGAATAATTACATTCAATATAATTCATTCAATATAATACATATTATTTTTTTTCTCTCTCTACTATTCTAACATAAAAAATAAAATTAATTAAATATGTATAGCTCCATGATCAAACTATAATTATTTTTAAAAAAATTATCAAAATTATACTAATCAATTTTTTAAAAAAACATAAAGATGATATTATTATATGTTATTATAAATGTCTGATTGACTTGATTTTTTTCATAAATAATCCGTCTACACAATGAACTCTATAATATAAACCATTAAAATTATCAAAATAAATTTGAAAAACGCCCTCACGAGCTCAATGTGCCTTCGGTGCCCAACTCAACCCAATTATTGTTATCAATAAATATAAATATTATGTGCATGTATTATCAAAATATAAATATAAGAACTTCAGTAATGAAGAACAGTGTACAAGTACAAATACAAATCATCCAAAACAAAACAACAGTGTGACATACATGGAACAGAAGCTAAAAGTTAAGACATGACCAAAGAAAACTAAACATAGACAATGCACTAAAAAACAAGGGCAAAAATCAGACTTACCACTACCTACAAAAATCCAATTTCAACCATTGATATTTAATTTTGTAACATTTATTTTATTCCAATATATGTGCTTGTTTGACGTGTTTAGCATTGAAAATTCACCCTGTGAAGGGCCACTTATTCATCAGGGATCTGTGCGTAACGCGTTGTATGATTGAATAATCTCAAGCATATAATGGTGGTTTATGGCAATTGAGATTTTAGTCAATTTTGACTAAAATTTATAAAAAAGATAAAATAAATTAAAGTAATTAATAAAATAAAATGTCACATTAAATTTATAATTATTTTATTTTTTCTTTCACAAACATCACATCTAACTATGTGGGTGTTTGGGAAGTGAGTTTTTATGGAAGTTTTTTTAGTTGTAAGATATTATTGTATAAAAAAATTTTAGTGTTTGTAAAGATAGTTTTTTTGTGGTTGAATGTGATGTTTGTGAAAAAAAAAGTGAAATGATTATGAGATTGAATGTGATATTTTGTTTGTATTTATTTTTTTTAATTTTGCAAAAACTTTATCTTTTAGTAAAAAAAATAAAAAAAAATAAACCTAAACCAAAATCTTGGCAAACACCACCTATCTTCTCAAATATATAAATTTTAACTTACTAAAATAGCTAAAAATTAAAATAATCTAGTAAAATAACAACTTTCCAAACAGACAATATGTCACTAAGAAAGATCGCACCTATTATATATGTGAGCACTTAGATTGGTTTCTTGAAATTTTGTCTCTTTTTTATGCCAAGTGTCTAGTTATTTATTTAAAAAAAAAATAAAAAGAAGCTACAAGGGAATGAGCCGAGACTTGAACCGAAGATCACAAATTTAATAAGAAAGACTCTTATCATTTGAGATTACAATCAATAGATGTCAAATATGTTATTTAATTTTATTTATTTAATTTGTACATGTATTGCATGTGTCAACTGCTAATATATATATACACACACTCTCATATACTTTTGCATTATCTTTAAGTTTTTTCTTTTTTTGAGTCTTTAATTTATTTTTTTTCATTTTAATCAAATCTCTTTGAGTTAAGAATGAGAATGTATTTAGTTTAGAATATTGAGTTTGGCCAAAATTATTTTTATATTAATTTTTTTTAATTTATATATTCATTTTTTTTAATGCATCCTTTTTCTTTTTTTGTGTGTGCAAATTTTTTTTGAAAAGTTTAAAATACTATTTTTTTGGAAACAGAAAAAAAAAAAAAAAAAAAAAAAAAGGAAAAAAGAAAGAAAAAAAGAAAACAGTTTCCAAAATTGGAAATTAGGGGGATTATGGGGCAACTTTTTAGGGCTGCAAATCATTTCCCATATAAATATTATGTGCATGTATTATCAAAATATAAATATAAGAACTTCAGTAATGAAGAACAGTGTGCAAGTACAAATACAAATCATCCAAAACAAAACAACAGTGTGACATACATGGAACAGAAGCTAAAAGTTAAGACATGACCCAAGAAAACTAAACATAGACAATGCACTAAAAAACAAGGGAAAAATCAGACTTACCACTACCTACAAAAATCCAATTTCAACCATTGATATTTAATTTTGTAACATTTATTTTATTCCAATATATGTGCATGTGCTTGTTTGACGTGTTTAGCATTGAAAATTCACCCTGTGATGGGCCACTTATTCATCAGGGATCTGTGCATAACGCGTTGTATGATTGAATAATCTCAAGCATATAATGGTGGTGTATGGCAATTGAGATTTTAGTCAATTTTGACTAAAATTTATAAAAAAAATAAAATAAATTAAAGTAATTAATAAGATCAAATGTCACATTAAATTTATAATTATTTTATTTTTTCTTTCACAAACATCACATCTAACTATAAAAAAAATCTAACTATGTGAGTGTTTGGGAAGTGAGTTTTTATGGAAGTTTTTTTAGTTGTAGGATATTATTGTATAAAAAAATTTTAGTGTTTGTAAAGATAATTTTTTTGTGGTTGAATGTGATGTTTGTGAGAAAAAAAGTGAAATGATTATGAGATTGAATGTGATATTTTGTTTGTATTTGTTTTTTTTGATTTTGCAAAAACTTTATCTTTTAGTAAAAAAAATAAAAAAAATAAACCTAAACCAAAATCTTGGCAAACACCACCTATCTTCTCAAATATATAAATATTAACTTACTAAAATAGCTAAAAATTAAAATAATCTAGTAAAATAACAACTTTCCAAACAGACAATATGTCACTAAGAAAGATCGCACCTATTATATATGTGAGCACTTAGATTGGTTTCTTGAAATTTTGTCTCTTTTCATGCCAAGTGGCCAGTGATCTATCCCAAAAAAAAAAAAAACTAGAGAAGAGAATGGGCAAAGACCACAAATTTGATGAGGAAGATTCTTATCACTTGAGACTACAACCAATATATATTACATATTTTATTTATTTTATTTAGTTAACTTGCACATACATCACGTGTGTCAACCACTAATTACAATAAAATTAGCGTTATTCTATTTTTTTAACTTCAGGCACTTTTGGGTTTGTTTATGAACAAATTATTTTAATACTTTTTTAATTTTTTGATTAAAATATAAAATAAAAATAATAATATATTAGGGATGATATTTTAATTTTTCACAAAATAAAATACAAAACATAAAGAGAAAAAATTAATTAATTTTTTAATATAAGTTATTAATTTTTTTATTTTTTTAATAATTTTTAACTTTTAAACTAAAAAGTAATATTAGTAGACTAGTCAAATAAAAATGAAAATATTAAAACGCATTCATCTTGCAAATCGTAGAGATCAGTAAATAGAAAGGATCCCCTACACACGCAGGTATTAAATATACCATGTGCCTGACCCTACATCAACCGTTTATTTCCCAGACTAATTCGACGACCTGTTAGCGTTGGCAGTGGTGTTGGTCATCATCTTCTTGAACTCCTCAAAATTGACGAATCCATCGCCGTCCGAATCGACGGACTGGATCATCCTCCCACAGTCCTGAACAGAGCACTTCTCGCCAAGTTGTTGCAAGATCTGGTGGAGCTCAACGGCGGAGATCACTCCGTTCTTGTCCTGATCATACAACTCGAAGGCATCCTTCAGCCCTACCATACCGCCGTCGTCTCCGGCGGATCCGGCGATGTCGCCGCCGCCCTTGCAGAAACTGGCGAACTCTTCGAGACTGATGAAGCCGTCGAGGTCGGTGTCGAGCTCCTCCATCATCTGCTTCACTTCATCCTCCGATATGTTGGATTGGAGAGCTTTCATGACTGACACGAGCTCCGTCGCCGAGATCTTGCCGTCGCCGTTGGCGTCGAAGCGGTTGAACACCTTCTTCACCTCCTCCTTGTCCTGCAGGTATACTGATGGCTTTGAACCTGAGTTAGGGTTAGGGTTTGAGATTGTCGCCATTGCTGCTTCCCGATTTTGGTTTCAAAATTGTGTGTGTGTGTGAGAGAGATTAGTGAGGGAGGTTGCCTGTATTTATACATGAGAATGAGTGGAGGGGGAGAATGGGATAACGACCGTTTTAGAGAGAAATTGAGAGAAGATATTCGCCCTTGTTTTTTTTTTTTTTTTTTTTTTCCCCTTTTTTAACCATAATAATAAAAGAATGGGAAAGACTATTTAGGAAATGTTTTTTTTTTTCTTTTTTTTTTTCCTTTCTAACCATAATAATAAAAGAATGGGAAAGACTATTTAGGAAATGTTTTTTTTTTTCTTTTTTTTTTTCCTTTCTAACCATAATAATAAAAGAATGGGAAAGACTATTTAGGAAATGTTTTTTTTTTTCTTTTTTTTTTTCCTTTCTAACCATAATAATAAAAGAATGGGAAAGACTATTTAGGAAATGTTTTTTTTTTTCTTTTTTTTTTTCCTTTCTAACCATAATAATAAAAGAATGGGAAAGACTATTTAGGAAATGTTTTTTTTTTTCTTTTTTTTTTTCCTTTCTAACCATAATAATAAAAGAATGGGAAAGACTATTTAGGAAATGTTTTTTTTTTTCTTTTTTTTTTTCCTTTCTAACCATAATAATAAAAGAATGGGAAAGACTAAAATATATAATATATAAAGTGTATATAGTAAAATTCTCTTAAGATAATTAAATAAATCGTATTATCTCACTTCTTATTGCTCTCATTAAAGTGATTTCACGTGTAAAAAAATTTCTAGCCACACTTTTTCAATTTTTAATCTTAGACATGTTAATAAAATTACAAAGAAAAATATTACTTTCCATGCTAAATTTGACATAATTGTGTCGGTCAGCTATAAATTATAACTTTCACATGGGGGATATTATGGATTCGAATCTCAAGGAGACTTTAATTTAATAATTATTTGATATGTATTTAGACTTATTTTGAGAAATAAAAAATAATTAATTTATTAATATTTTTTATATATTTTTTAAAATATATATATAAATGTAAAAAAATAATGTGATCAATAAGTTAATAAATTAACCTCTTTTTTTTTTTTAATATTGTCAAAAGAGACCTTAGAGAGATTAATTAAGACAAAGTTATGAATACCTTGTAAATGAATAGACAAAATTGACCAAACATAGAGAGCGAAGTGGTCTTCTATTTCAAAATTTATTTTTATCATTAACATGTAATATACAATACAAATTAAAAAAGAAAAAAAAAATACAAAATTTGTATGATGTAATTGTCTTCGTATTTATCATTTGAAAACAGAGTATATATTAAAATAATATTTAATTACTAAAATATCACATTCACAACATTCTCATTAAAAATAAGGTGTCGTTTAGAAAGTGGGTTGACTTTTTAGCTTTTTGACTTTTTTGGGTTATTTTAGCCTAGGTTAAAAAGCTTGGTTTGGGAAGAATTTTTCGGCTTTTTGATTTTTTTGACTTTTTTTGTGAGAGAATAATGTAATGATTATGAGTTAAATGTAATATTTTATTTTTTGTGACTAAAATAATATATTTTATCTTTTGTGACTAAAATAGTTAAAAAAATCCCAAATAACTCTTCCCAAACAGAGCTATTTGTTCAGTTCCTGCACTAATGAAATATGAGTAACATCCTATTGTTATCGAATATTTAGAGCAAACTTGTTCGGATGACTTTATAGGTTGTTTGGAATAGCTCAGTAAGTCGCTTATTTTTTTAAATTTTTTTTATCATTAGTATCTTTTGAAAAATTATTTTAAAATTTTATTTTTATGATCTATCTTGTGCAAATGAATTTGAAAAGTATTTTTTTTATTAAAAAAATAATAAAATCAAAAGAGCTAAAATAAACTTAAAAAATTAATTTATTTGTCTTTTCTAAAATTTATAAAAAAAATTAAATTTTCTAATTCGTCGCATCGAGTAAAATTAAGAAGCTTAAACCCCCCCCCCAAAAAAAAAACAATCACTAAAATATGAAAATAAGCCAACAAATTTTTTTCGAAAATTGAAAGACCTAAAAGAAGCCAACAAAATCACTACATGAAAATAAGCCAACAAAAAGGGGTGTTTTAGAAAGATGAAAGCTTGTTTTTTTGACACTTTTTTTTTGAAAAAAAACGTGTAAAAAATATGAAAAATAATCTGATTCAAAATAAGTTAAAAATTTAAAAATGACTTTTAACTCACTTTCTAAAAGAGTCACCAAAAAATAAATGCCAAACACCCACTTAACTTTATTAATATAATTATATCAACTTTGTAAGATTAATTATATTTTTATCAAACCTCAAGATAAATCATTTGTAGATAAATTACAAATATACTTTTTGAAATTGATTTAAAATATAGATTTTTTTTGTAGTCTGAAAAATTACAAATATTCATTTATCAACTTTTTTTATTTAATGGAATTAATTAAAAAATAAAATTTTTAACTGTTCTCATATACAACAATAAAATTACTTAAATTATTAATAAAAATAAAATTTTAATATTATTAAAAAATATTAATTAATTTAATAATTTATTAATAAAATAAATTATTAATAAAATAAATTATTTATTATGAAATTAAAAATTTTAAAAACGAGATATATGGGAGACTTTTGAAAAGCCAAAAAAAGGTCAATTTTTAATTTTTTATTCATTTTGAATCACATTACCCCTCACATTTTTTATCTATAAAAAAAATAAATTTAAAAAAATTAAAAAATTAATTTTTTATCAAATTCTCAAAACACCAACCATTTCTACAACTCAATAGGTCAAATCATATTTTAAATAAAATTTAAAAAGTTTATTTATAATTTATTCTTCATTTTACAATAGATTGGTCGCGACAGTGATTGGTTGCGCAGTGAACAGCAGAGGGGAGTCAAGATTCTCTCAATGTATTTCTTACTTGTAGGGTCATCGGACTTATTTTTAGGCTTAATTTTGATAATTCGAATCGTTTATATTTTAAGATTTGTTCATTATATCATACTTATAAAAAATTAAGTTAATCGAATATCAAAAAGTATGTGTTCGGAAAACTGTTTATTAAATTTTAAAAAAAAATAGTTTTTAGTTTGATTTTCCGAACACATACTTTTTAATATCCGATTAACTTGATTTTTTATAAGTATGATATATTGAATAAATCTTAAAATATAAACTATCCAAATTATTAAAATTAAATGTAAAAGTAGGCGCAATAACCCCGCAAATAGGAAATGATACAAGGAGGGGATTCTTGCTCTCAGAAGGGGGAATAATTTGGGTATGCCGAATGGTAGACACGTGCGTGGGCATGTGGAGGCGATCCGTGTTGGTGACGCGTGTGGACTAATTTGAGACACGGGTTTGACGCGTTTTTGTACTTAATAAAATATTTTCCGTACTTGTTTATTTATTTTGTAATATTAGATTTTGGAAAATGTCTCGTAACTCAAATTTTGTGGCTCAAAAGTGACTCAAATGGCCAAAACGATGTCGTTTTGGCTATTTTTATATTGTTCTGTACTCAAAACGACGTCGTTTTGGCCATTTGAACCACTTTTGAACCACAAAATTTGAACTACATAGCATTTTCGTTAAATTTTGGTGGTGGGCATCAATCAAACCAACAGATAACAGACAAAACTGAAAATAAACTTTGATACGTGGGGTTTCAAGAAGTTGATAAAAAATTTATTTTTTAATTTTTTTATTAATTTTTTTTGTGTAAAAAATAGGGACTTGATGTAATTTTAAAAAAAATTAAAAAATTTAAAAATTAACTTTTTATCTGCTCGTCAAAACGCCTTATATTTAACTTTTGGTCTTCCATTATCATATGACACTACAACGAATAAGAATTTTAGAGATCAAATATTTTGATCTCTAAAAGTAAAAATTTTGTTATAAAAAATATTTAAGAATCAATTTCTATCGTTACAAGGATAGTCGCTAAAAGTTCGTCCCGAAAAGTCTAAAACAAGACTTTTAGTGACAAAATTTTAAAAATGTCATTAATAAATAGACTTTTAAAGATAAAATAATTTGGTTTCAAAATAATTTATTTTTTTAGACAAAAAATTTGGTCCTAAAAGGATAATAATTCATCACTAATGTTTAATTTTTGTTGCTAAAAATATAATAATGACACTTTTCGTAACAAAAATATTTGGTCTCTAAAAAATAATTTTATTTTTAAATTTTGATTTTTAAAACCATAATTTTTATAAAAAAAAATCAAAAATTAACTTATTTTGTTTCACATTTTCTCTTATATAAAAAAAATTAAAAAATTAATTTTTTTTGATCATTTTTACAAAACCTCCCATAATATATCATTGACGCTTGATGTGAATCGTGATGGGAGGGATATTGGAGATCAAAAAAAAATTTGGTTTGAATTTTTAAGATTTTTTTTTTAATTAATTTTTTTCATTTTTCATATTTTTTATTTTTTTAATATTTTAATCAATTTTTTTAATTTTTAAATACACTTGAAATAGAAAAATGACTTAGACCCCAGCAGGGTGACCCACCACCACCCTCATTGATTTCTGATTGGCTGAAAAAAAAAAAATTTTGGATCTTCCTCTCATTGCCCCCACGTGTATGTGGGGTGCTGGGGTATGGAGCACAATTTTTTTCAAAATATAATATTTGTAAAAAAAAAATTTAAAAAATTTATTAAATATCAAAAATACAAATATATATATATATATAAGAATTCAGTATATTTTTTATATTCTTGTCTATTTATTGATTTTTAAATTTTTTTTTACAAATATTTTACTTTTTAGATACATCTAAGTAAGTGTATCTAAAAAAATAAAAATAAAAATTGCTTAAAAATTTAAAATTATTTACTAAAAATAAAAATAGAAAAAATAAAAAAGTCAATTTTCAGAAAATTGAAACTAAACACACTAAATACTCCTTCTATCCTAAAATATTAGTCATTTTTAGAGAATTTAATTTTTTTTATAATACAATTATTACACTTTAAAAATACTCACTTTTCAAAATTATCCTTTAGTAATATAATTATAATAATTATACTTTTTATGTATATCAATGTTAATGAATTTAGAAGAATGTCAAAATAAAAAAAAATTATATTATTTTAATCATTAATTTTTGAAAATAAATTAATATTTTATGGTAATAAAAATAAAATAAAAAACTAATATTTTAAAATAGAGAGAGCATTTTGTTTCATATATTAATACCATTTAAAGATAGTAAAACAAAAAAGAATTATTATCAATCCGATGGTATATAAATAAATATTATTTATCTTATATCTTCAACCCTACAATACTGACAATCTAATAATCTTATGACGAATACTTACAATATCATCTCACCCAATAATCTACCAAACAAACGACACCTAAACAACCGTGATTTGACTATCTGTACCTATTTTTACTGGCAATGTGGGTGAGAGACACAAGTGAACTAATGTTTTGCCTTTTACTAAATAAGTGGTTGTGATATTGTGGTAAGGTCTTGCGATTTAAGCTCCAAGATTATAAGTTCAATTTTTTTCTTGGACCAATCTCTTGGACGAAGTACTGTTGATTAGGACGTTGGACCTCAAGGATGCCTAATCAACTATTTGGTGTGGGTTTAATGCTCCCTGCTGTGCGAGTTCTGACTTAATCGAAACTTGCCATGGGAGGTTGGGACAAGCTTCCAGGTTATAGTCTCTTACTCGGAACGGACAACAGGACACCCTGGTGATCTCTTCATGGGACGCTGCCTTAGACCTGTGGGAGAGTGAGAATTTTCCTGTAAAAAAAAAAATAAAAATAAAAAAAGATAATAGAGGCTTCTGTCCGACCACAGCGTATAGTTGGTAAGGTAAAATTTTCCAGCTTAGAAGAATCGTATCTAGTGTGAGTAAGTGAGTATAAATTTCCATCTGTATGCGAATTTGTAACTTAGGTCAAGTTTGATAAGTTAAAAAAAAATTAAAAAATTAAAAAGTTATTTAAAAAATTATTACTATTTAACAAAAGTCAAAAAGTACGACTGCATAACTCTATCATAATTTTTCTCTACACACTAATTTATACAATTTTTTAATACACATTTTTTCATAAAAAGTTAAAAAATTAACCCAAACAACCATATTTTTTTCCTCAACTTTTTAATCTAAAAAAATTAAAAAATACACTTATTTAAAACATCTCAAACAATCCCTTATCATTACATATAGTCATGTTAGATAGCAGTTAGTTAAGAGTGACCTTTGGGCCTTGATTCCTTACAGGGTTTAGCACAAAAGTTACCCCTATATGGTTAGACATTTTCTCTCCAAGTGTTATTGAGCTTTTATGGGCTCATCACGAAACTTAGACGATGATTTGAATTATTAATGTATAAAATTCTTCAAGTATTTTATTTTTATAAAAAATTATATTGATTGGTTATCAATAATTACTTGATCAAATTATATTTGTATCAATAATTTTTTTTAAAATCATACTTATCATTGATACAAATATAATTTGATCAAGTGACTATTGATATTCGACCAACGTGATTATTTAGAACAATAAAATGCTCGATAAACACTATATATTGAATGATTTAAATTATCGATATGTAATTCGTTGTGGGCCTACAAAAATCTAACAACAACCCCAAATTCAATTTGAACTAGAAAGATGCCTCCCCTTACCAAAAAAGAGGTATGTTTTTTTATTGCGATGTTTTGAGAAGTTCGTAAAAAAATTAACTTTTAACTTTTTTAGTCAAGAATGCTAACTTTTTAGGTAGTGACTTGAATAAAAAAATTAACTTTTTGCTAGTTTCCAAAGTGAGCTATTGTCTACTTGGGCTAGGAGCTATATAAAGCACTAAAGGAGAGTTGTGAGTTTTGCATTATGATTCTCCAGAGACAAGAAACAAATATGCACGGAGGTTAATGCAAGAAAAGAAAAGGCAATAAAAAGTAAAGTGAAAGAAAAAAAATATAAAGAAACTGTACTGCATTAGTATGAAAATTTTGACAGAAAAAAAAAATAGGGGAAATTTACTTTTAATTATAGTTAAACCTCTTGCACAGATAAATTTAATTTTTTTTGCATTTATTTATTTATTTGCAGAAATTAAACACTCTATTATCAATATGAGTTGAACAGAAAAAAACAACTTTCTAATAATTTTCAATTTCATGCTAAATAAATTCAGAAATTATTATTTTTATTATTTTTCCCTTTCTTTTCACTTTCCACTACTTTCTTCATAAACAAATTAGTCTTGTGCCTTCGTTGTGTTATTTGAAGATGGGAGACCATTCACAATATGACCATTCAAGTTCTAAGAAGCATAGATATTTTTAAAAAAGTGCCGTATCGTATCACACACTAACACAACATGACACTTCTCAATGCCAGTGTTTTGCTTAGATATTAAACATATTAAAATTTTAAATAAAATAATTTGATTCAATTATAAAAGAAAAAATAATATAAATTTGTACTTATTATCCTTTTTTAGATTTTAAAAATTAGTATTACATTTGAATTAAATATTTATATATATAACATAAAATAATTGCTTATCCATTATACTACATATAATAAATACATAAAAATTATATATTTTTAATGTATGTCTCACATGTCATGTCTTATATTTTTTAAAATTAACAAATCAATTTATTACTGTCGTGTCGTTTGTCTTTATTCCCGTTCCTCAATTCAAGTTTCTTTCATATTTGGTGATACATTCAAAGTGGTTTCTTTCTATCCTCGTTCCTTAATTCAAGTTTCTTTCATATTTGGTGATACAGTCAAACTGGCTTCTATCCAATTGATTTGTTTGTGGTTTGGTAGGCTACTTGGGAGTACTACTTAAGGGGCTGATGTGATAAGGACCTCATTCCATGCTAATATCAACCTTTAGTTTAAGAGTGATTTATTTTGGGAGAAGTATAGATTTAAATATCGGTCGGTACATTTTGTATCGGCCGATTCGTACTAAAAAATCAAAGTATCGATTTGGATATGGACCAGTATAGTGGTGAGAATGAAATTCGCAGTCGTAGTGTCTGAGTCTTGGTACGTAGCGACTTGAATTCGATACACAGGGCAATACAATCCGATACAGTTTCATAGTCGCCGATACAGATAAATTAGCGCAGAGAACCTACAAAAGCAGAAGTAATTGCAGAAAAGAAAAGAATAACCCATCACATACATCACTCAAACCTTTCACTTCAAGTGCTCTGTCTTCTTCAAGCAATTTCACACTTTCGCGGACCATAAATTTGCTTTTGTTTACAGATTTGCAGTTCACAATCAAACTTCTTTGTGGTTTGGCTCCATAGATCTAAGCTTCTTTGGGTTGTAGAGTTCATTTCGACCTTCAAGCTTCTTCAAAGAAGGCTTGTCTATGAGTTGCAAGTTGTAATTTGTGTTGTTTTGTTGTGCTCTGTTTTTGGTGAGTTGTGAGTCATGCTATGCTCTGTTTTCTGTTTCGTATTTCATCACTTTTTTTGGGGGGGGAGGGTCTTGTTTTAGTGAAATGTTTAGGATTTTTTTTCTATTTATTTGAAAATGAGTTAAAAGTGCTCTTACATATCAAATTTTTGATTCAAATGTGACAAATTAAGATATAAAAAGTAAAAAAAAAAAAAAATTGCATAAAATTGAGTTTTAGAGGGATTACTAATAATTTTTAAAATTTCACGGCCGCAATACCTGATTCCCGATACTACCGATTTCGATACTCTGAGATTGATACCGCTACGTTATCCGATACTGCGATTTAGAACTATGGCCCAAAGTGTCCACCTCTCACAAGGAGGGACACATACCTTAATTGGCTGCTCCTCACATGCATACGGCTTCCACATGTGGTCATGTCTATACACCCTCATCTCTTGCCCACTACTCTATCCATCAAGAGACATATGCCCTACCATTTTCTTTCCTCTGCCAACTTTCTTTTCCCTCTTTACAGATTCTCTATCTTATCATTTTTCTAAATTTGCTCCTGTCTAATAGCCAGGAGGGACTATTCTTATCTACTTCTCTTACCACTTGATTTCATGGAGAGAATTAAATAGAAGCCCATGAATCATCGCTGGTGGAGCCCCGTGATAGGTTACGAGGGAGTACTAGTTAAAGGTTGATGTAAGAGGGACGTCGTCCCATACATACACACTGACATCAACCTTGTGCTAAGAGTGATTTATTCTAAGAAGAGAATTAGAAAGATGCTTATGTTCCTCTCTCATAGCAACACCTGCCCTTTTTATTGGTTCGTCCTTACATGTTTATAGGTCCTACATGTGACCAAATCTTGATACCCTAATTTTTGCTCAACACTCAATCCACCAAAAGAGAGATTCTAAACCATTTTCTTTCTGTGCCACTTTTCTCTCTATCTTGCCATTCTTCTACATTTGCTATAGTCTATCCTCTCTAATTTCTAGGAGAGGCTATTCTTACCACTTGATTTCATGGACATAAGAGGGTTGCTCTCTCTCTCTCTCCCCTCATTTCTAATATTAATAATAAAGAAAAGCATTAAATCCCACATATATCGTGAAGGATTCGGGGTGAATGGGGTATGCTTGACTTCTCGCAACGGGCCAGTAAGAAAAGCAAACAAAAAACCAAGATATAATAGAGAACGAAATTTTACAATCATAAGCTCTCTAGAAGTTGCAAAAACTGTCTGATGATCTAGCATTAATGTCTAACTCTAATATTTCAATGGGAAAAAAAAATGTTAAAATATAAACATTTTGGCTTGTCAAACCCAATCTTCAAAATTAGACAAAGCATAGCATAATACAGCAGAGATGACTGTTAGCAGCACAAAACTATACCCAGATTACGAATTAAAATTGGAGTAAAATAGGTGAGTAATCATCAATATATTAATTATACCAAAACAAATATTTGAAATTAGAAGAAAGACAAATACCTTATGGAGGGTAATTAGTAGATCACAATAAGCAATTCATAGCTTCCCCAATAAACGTCTAATATCTAATCTACATCTCTATCTCTTAGATAAAATAATACAGAGAACAATTCTGTAGATCGCAGAAAACATAAACGAGAACCCAAAGTTTGTGTATCAGTTGCAGCTTTTATTTCTTTCTATACACAGTTCCACAGCAACTAGACTGCCAATTCTCCATAATGGATTGGTATCTAAGAAATACTAATGTATACAGTGGGACTTCTCATCACTCTCGTTGTACTTCATTTCCTTAAAGATTAGAAACCACCAGCTCAGTTAGAAAAGCCTTGCCTTTGTTCATTTTGTTCAAGGTCAGATTCTGGTGCCCAATCATTGAAGGTGGGCCAAAAGATCCATTGTATCATGATCCTCTAAAATAAGAAAACTTTCTGTTTTTTCCTTGATTTTGCTCGTCCAATCCAATTTTGCTTCACTTGTACAAAACTCTTATCCATTCAAGTCCTGTAAGTCCTCTTTAAACTGCTCGGTTGAATTGTCAGCACAGACTTGATCCCCAACATTGCCATGTAACTTGTCAAGAATCCTCCATGTTACAGAATCTGGGGCCAGCCCATTCTTTCTCATTTCTCCCACAATCTGGTAAGCTTCCCTCTTCAAACCCAACTTGCAAGTACGGTCAACCACAATGTTATAGTTCACAATATTTGGAGCAACCCCACAATCTACCAATTCATATAGGAAATCACAAGCCTCATTCAATTTTCCTGAGCGACAAAGCCCTTTAAGAATTGCTGCATACACAAAATTATCATGAATCTTTGATGGCCAAATAACATCATCCCATAGCCTCTTTGCCTCCTCTATTCGGCCTGACTCGCATAATCCATCAATCATAATAGTGTAGGTAGTACTGTCGGCAACCACACCATCACTCCCCATGATGCTGAAAATCTCCATCGCTTTACTTACGTGATGTAGTTTAAATAACCCACGAAGAACTGCATTATAAGTCACAACACCAGGTCTAAAACCCTTTTCAGGCATAACTTTATGAAATAAATCGAGAGCTTCTTCAACTCTTCCAAAGTTTAACAGGCCACCGATAATGGTAGTGAAGGTGACAGCATCAGGCGCACGAAACTTTCCTGCCATCATATCATGCAGTATTTTCAAGGGCTCTTCAATTGTCCCCATTTTGCAGAACCCATTAACAATGGTGTTGAGGGTAATTACATCAGGACTGCACTGGGTCTGAAGCATGAAAACGAGCACATTCAGAAGCTCAGTTGGGTTGTTTATAAGACAAAGAGCTCTTAGATATATATTGTAGATTCTAGTACTGTCCACACCTTTCTTCTTCAACATGATTTGAAGAACTTCCCTCGCCTTGGAAAGGTCAGCTTCTCGACAAAGGCCTTCGATCAAAACTTTGTATGTATACTCTGAAGGGCAATACCTAAATTCAATTCCTTCTTCTAACAACTGGTAAGCCCTCATACAACTACCTTCCTTACTAAGCCCATGAACAATAGAATTATATGATACAAAGCTTGGTGTAAAGCCTCTCTTTCTCATTATATAAACAATCCTTGAGGCCCCATCATGCCTTCCAACTTTACAAAGCGAATCTATCATCTGCCCATATGCAAATTCCTCAGGAACACTCGTCCCTTGAGGCATATCTTCTGCAATATCAAACACTTCATGAAACAACCCTTCATGGCACAAAGAGTCAATGATGTTAGCAAATGCCGCATTGTTCACCGACAATTCCTTCTCTTCATCCACCATTGTCTCCCATAATTTCCCCATTAGCTCCTTCCCGTGTTCAATATCCCGCTTCCGTAGAATCCCACGAACCAACACGCTATACGTAAGCGAATTGGGCCGTACTCCGCATTCAAACATTTCGTCGAACACCTTCTGAGCAGAACCCACATCTCCAATTTTACAATAACCATTGATCAGCGTAGTGTAAGTAACGGCATTCGGGCAATGCCCCCTACTCTTCATATCAAAAAACAACCCGTGCCCTTCAACGGGTCGAGAAAACGAGCAAAATTGATCCATGAAACGATTATAATTCACCAAAGAAGGTACAAAATGGGGGTTTTTAGCGATCAAACAACGAACAACGACCAATGTGGCATCTGGGTTTTGCGAATCAAGCAAGCGAGCGATGATGACATTGCAAGTACGCTCGTCGGGGACAGAATTAGAAGCAATAGAGAGGGAAAAGCGGTGGTGGGCTTCGGAGAAGCGGTGGGAGTCGCAGAGAGCGTGGATGATGGTGGAGATGTTGAGAGAGTTGGGGGTGTAGCCGCGGAGGCGGAGGTGGTGGAGGAGGCGGAGGGCTTCGTCGACGCGGCGGTCCACGGAGCAGAGTTTGTGAATCTTTTGGGTCCAGTAGGTGGTGTTGGTTATGCTCACTTCTGGTTCTTGTTGTTCTGGTTTGTGGGTTGGTTGTTGTGGAGATTGTGGAAGAGAGGGGATAGTGTTGGAGAGGAAGAGTGAGAGAGATCGAGTGGTGGTTTTGTCGTTGATTAGTGTTTTTGGTGATGGGAACGATGAGATAAACATTTGTTATTGTCTTCACATTTCTTGTTTGAGATTGCTTTGATTCAACGGTTTTGGGATGTATAGAATATGTATCTGGTACCAAATCATTTGAATTTAAATGTCAACGGGAATGGGAACAATTGTTAATGTATATATGTATATATTCTTAGATATATTAGGTATTGTATTTCTAGATATATTTGTATTGGAATAACCATAATTAGATTTCTTATAAAGTACTCATTCTGTTTCTAGTAAGATTATTTTTCTCAGCCTATATATACAGGCTTTCTATTATATAGGATCAATTCGTTAAGTACAATATACATTATTTCCTCTTTCTCTATTATTCTAACATGGAATCAGAGCGAGGTTAAGTACATAGTAATTTTGCTTCACTGGCGGGAGACAGCCTTGCCTTTATCGCCCGCTGGACCTCAACCTATTCCGCTGTCATATTTTCCTGTTAGTATCGCTTTGTGGTGATCCCTTCCTTTGTCCACTAATTTATTCATATCTCAAATATCTCTATCATATATATATTTACTCGCAATTCACTTTTTTGTGTGTTTTTGCTCCACTTTGTCTTTCTCTCTGTTTCAACCTCAAGTAGGTTTCTATCTTCAAATCTATTTGAGTTTGAGGAGGGTATTATACCTATATCATGGTGAGCATGGTGATATAGCATGTGAACCACCTAAGCCCCAAACTGCATCCTTTGATGCACAACCTAAGCGACTCCTTGCGCACCATCCAAGCCGCCCTTGGCGCACTTAGTCTTCTGTTGCCATTATTGTTCAGCACCACGTCATAAGTTATGTATGTGTCACACTTGTTGGTTCAACATTCAGTTATCTACAACGGTCCGACATGACCCCGTAAATTGTCTCGACATTGATTCCGGTTAGCCAATCTCTACATCAGTCCAGCATAACCCCTTTAAACTGTATATTGATATACCATGTGAACCACCTAAGCCCCAAACTGCCTCCTTCAGCGCACAACCTAAGCCACTCCTTACGCACTATCCAAGCCACCCCTAGCACATTCAGTCTTCTGTCGTCATCATTGTTCAACACCACGTCATACGTTATGTGTGTGTCATGCTTGCTGGTTCAACGTTCAGTTCTCTACAACGGTCCAACATAACCCCGTAAACTGTCCCGATATTGATTCCAGTTAGCCAATCTCTATATCGATCCGGCATGACCCCTTTAAACTATCTCAACATTGATTTCGGTTAGCCAATCTCTACAACGGTCCGGCATGACCCCATTAAATTGTCCCGACATTGATTCTGGTTAGCCTCTAACATTGGTTTGGCACGACCTTAAACTATCCTGACATTGATTCCAGTCAATTCTGATAACAGTCCGGCACGAACTTAAACTGTCCCAGCATTAGTTTCGATCAATTTCTACAATGGTCTGCCATGACCTTAAACTGCCCCGGCATTAGTTTCAGCCAGCTATTTCACTGGTCTAGGATGACCATAAACTGTCTCTTGTCCCGGCATTAGTTCCAGCCAATTCCTATAATTGTCCGATACGACCATAAACTGTCTCCCAGCATTAGCTCTAGTCTTTGATATATCTTAAGTGCCGTTGCACTCCCGTGCAGATTTTGCAATCTATTTGCCTTTTATTTTATTTAGTTTTATTTCATGTTTTAGTTTCTCTCTCCAAACTCAAAATGTTTATCCTCCTTGAGTTTGAGGGGGATGTTAATGTATATATGGTATATATTCCTAGATATATTAGGTATTAATTTTCTAGATATATTTGTATTGTCATAATTAGGTTTCTTGTAGGATACCCTTTCTCATAGTTATGTTTCTAATAGGATACTTTTTATCAGTCTATATATACAGGCCTTCGATTGTATAAGATCAATTCATTAAATACAATATATATTATTTCTTCTCTCTCTCTCTCTCTCTTTACTATTCTAGCAAAAATAAATAAGTTATTCGCACAAATTTGACAAATTTGAATTATTGAAGTTGGTATCAATGAACTTAGGAGTAAAATATTTGACGAGCCTTACTGTGGAAGCCAAAAAAAAATATATCAACTTATTAGGCTAACCCAAATAAGGCCTTCCAAGGGGCCGACTATTGGGCTTATTCGGCCCACCCTCCGTCTATAAAAGGAAGGCACTTCATGACATATAGGGATGATCTTTCTCTGCACTTCACACACAAAACTCTTTACAATTCTTAATTCTTTATTCATGGATTCTAATTTCGTCATCGGAGTGTCCCCGGTTGGGTGGCATCAACAATATTTATCTCTTGCAGGTTCATGAAACTATCTTTATTGAATCTCACTGACAATCCATGTATGTGGATAATTCTTAGTCTCACAATTGCCACCATCTATGGTAATCGTTTGAGAGTTCAACGAAGAAGATGATAAATACATACTATTCTACTTTTGCTATCCTCTATTGCAAGTTTATTTATATTTTAATGTGATTTGCATCAATAGAATTAAATCTTTACTTTCCATGCCAAACACTCCATGTGCTATGAATTTTATAATCAGATACAAATAAAGAAACTCAAAGGTCCATTTCGTTGTTTCTCTCTCTAACAATTAACTCATTTTTGTAGTCTTCATTGTGGCAACCTCTTCGGCAATTGTAGTGACCATTCCGGCAGTTCAGCAACCTACTTCGGCAATTTGCTTGCCATTGAGAACGCAGTGGAATAAAGAAAGTTATGTTATGAAAGGTAGCAAAGGCATTCTGACCATACACAACTGATTAGTTAATATCACAAAATCAATTGTTGATCACGCATTTTGGCGAGATAAAAGACCAACGCCAACATAGTTGCCGACTTGCCAACTAGGTAGTAAATATAATATATTTGCTTATTAGCATGGATGAACATAATAGCCGAGCTGCATGCCCATTCTCAGCACCAAGCATCAATAAAATACTAGTCGGCTCTTTATTGGCTTGCTAATATTTGCGTGCATTTTTGTAATTGTCATATGACAGTCTTTATGACCTATTTGGCTTAAGAAGTAGATATTATAGTTAGACACATGGCTGGGTCTTCATTCACTCTCTCTCTAGACAATAACCTTAGTAAGAGAAATCAGCAAAGTTAGACTGTGAATTATTATAATGATTCGTGGTAATATATATCTGCACTTAGTAACATGATCTGCGATTACTGTTTTTGGCTTTTAGCTCTATATCTCTACTACTAAATTCATTAACTTATACTTCACATATGTCTTGGTATATCTTGGAGTGGATTAAACTTTCTTATTCGGCACCACAACAATGGCCAATAATACTTTTGCTCATTTCAACTTGCTATTTATCACAATTATTAATTTAATATGTTTTCCCAAATACTTACAACCAATAGTCTTGGAACTTGGGTAATTATTAATTTAGTATACAATAATTCCCGGCAAAAGCCAGAAGGTTACCAACCACTTTCGGCAAAGACAAAACTAAACAGACAAGCCGACCAAGTGTTCCACCATCCAATTTGTTTCGGTAAGCCGAAGAATTGTCAACCCGCCTATCTCAGCAGAGCAACATTGTCTATACCCGCTAGCTCATTGCTTTGAGTACAACATTGCTAGACAACAGAATAATTTATTCACTATGAAGAAGTATTCGGCGCTCAACCCCATGTATGTGGAATTCAGCAGTACCATAACTACTAAAAGATTGCTCAGCAATGTTCAGCAGTGCCATAGCTCATACAAGGATACTCGACATTCCTTCAATCCTCGGCATCATTACAGCACACCTAGGCTATCTACAATCATTATAACATAACTCGGCGCTAAAAAATCAAATTAGATTCACCAAGTGCACAACCAAAGCTGGGGCAACAAAGTGTGACTAATTCGGCATCAAAGAGCAACCAATATGGTAACAAAGTGCGTTCACCGACATACTAAGTAGCTCGTTCACTATTTCAGATCGCCGCCAATTTTCCAAACTCACCAAGCGAACTTGTGAAAGGCCGAGAATAAGTTTTGCCGAGAATGCTTTACATCAAAGCTCATTCCGACCACACCAAGGTTCCTCGGGGAGATCACCCATGTCACTCGGCTATGTCATCATCCCGTAAGAAGATCCGTTTTCTAGCAATGGCTTTGGCCACCTTGGTCAAGCTCGGCAATGGACAATCGGACCGCAACACTTCCGTTCTCGGCAATCATAACCCGTTCACAAAATCTTTAGCCACAGCAAGTTTACCGGGTTACTTACATTACGCAACCTTACCATTAATTACTCCGCAGTATTGACGATCCGAACACACACGGATATTAATTCAACATTATTCAGCAAAAACAAATCCGCAACATTGATTATTCAGGTTATTCGGCAACTTACTTGGCATATTAGCAACTACATCCGCATATTCTCAATTCACAACTTATTCGGTATATTACCGCTGCAATTCACAAATCATTCGGCATATTATCAAGAGCGAATTAATATCAACTTTGCATTTTATCTAGCATGGACATCTTGTTTGGCACTTCGATTTTGGCATAAAACTAGCACTTTGGCTTACCGAAATCCATGTCTAACAATACCAAAGGATTCGCGTCGACTCAAGGAGTCCAAAGCCGCTAACTAGAGGAGCAAAAAAGTAACCGATGCTTACCAATAGTTGCACAACAGCCCATATTTTCAAAAAAAAAATGCAATTTTCAACATTATCGAAATCAAGTTTTGATTATACCAATGTGAAATACTTATTGAGATGAGTCTAACACAATAAACTGTGTCAAAATCGAAGCTAAAACGAAGCCATACGGGCCGATCAAAGTTTGCCCGGATAGTGAATTGTTTCGCAGGAGAAAACGACCCAGCAAGCTATGCAGAAATTATCCTGTGCTTCGCGGTTGCATTATACCCTATTGATTTGAGCCCCCAGATCCATTTTGGGTAAAACTACGCCATTAGGAGTCTGATTCAACAATCCAACAGTTGTTTCTAACTATTTTGAACTTTTTGAACACATCCGTACGGTCCAATTCTGCAATTTTGAGTCACATATTGAGATCCAAACATCGGCCAATCGAGAACATTAAATGCAAAATCAACGGTCAAAGCATATCCAATCGATATGCACTTTCAGCAGTAAGATCTTGGGGCTAGGAAATAATCCTTCATCTTCCCCGATCGTTCATTTCGTTACCTTAGCTGATCATTATCTCGGCACCTCTGATATGCCTGCATACTCGACCAACTCAATACAAACATCACAAGGAAATTTACTTGAGTTACAAACTCCTGCTCCTTTTCACATTACTCCAAGCAAGCGCCAGTTTTGGGGCCATACATTACACAGTTGGCAGTCGGCATTTCTTCGCATATTTTTGTGTGCCGTCTTTTTACCAAAGCCGAAGCTGCCCCGCAACATAGGGCATTAGAGCAAGTCCAATTTGCAACTGTCATTCAAAAGCAATAAAGCAAGTCTACATTGAACTAAACACAAACTGAGCAATGCTAATTGGCCCAAAATTTACTCAGCAATTAAATAGTTGGCCCAATATCTACTTGGCAATGCCTTACAAGCGGAGCAATGCTACTTTTTAATGCTCTTCCATCTTATCGTCTTTCTTCAATTTCCACTTATTTGTGATTAACAAGTCTACCTTATTCGGTACAAGCCATCACTGACAAGATGCATTATTCAAAATCCTTGCAATATTGGCACTTGATCGCCATTTAAAATCAGTCTGAGTACAGCGTAATCTTTGTACTTGGCACGGAGCGCCATCAGCAAAGGTCCACATCCTCGCTCGGGGATAATAATATCATGGTCCACTTTTTTGGCTGATATATCTACATTATTTAATCTGTCTTATTCGGTTCAGGCAATCATTTTCGTGCTTGGCATATAGAAATATCTCTAGCTCGGCACGAATGTCCATATTTGGAAACAATCTTTACACTCGACAATATACTACACCCTTGCTCGGGGTTATAATACCGTGGTCTAATCCCTTGCCTGGGGGTTATAATACCGCGGCCTAAACCCTTACCCGGGGGTTATAATACCGCGGCCTACACCCTTGCCCAAGGGTTATAATACTGTGGCCTACACCCTTGCCTGAGGGTTATAATATTGTAGCCTACCGTTATAGAGATAGTATTACTCATTGGGTTTTAGCTCACCCCTCTCCCTTATATACATATATTTGTACATGCATTCATTCAGTCATCTATTCATTTATGTTATTCATTTATCAAATGTATTCTTTGTCAAGGGACCTAACATCCATTTGAACAACATAACTCGGCAATAAAAACTCTCATTCCTTCTACCGAAAACAATGAAAGTTTTGGAGCAATTGTGGGAGCCAAAAAAAAAAATATTAGCTTATTGGACTAACCCAAATAAAGACTGCCAAAGGGCCAACTATTGGGCTTATTCAACCCACCCTCTGTCTATGAAATGAAGGCACCTCATGGCATATAAAGATGATATTTCTCTGCACTTTACACACAAAGCTCTTTATAATTCTTGATTCTTTATTCATAGATTCTAACTTCATCATCGGAGTGTCCCCGGCTGGTAACCCCGGTTGGATGGCATCAACAATATTTTTCTCTTGCAGGTTCATGGAACTATCTTTGTTGAATTTCACTGACAATCCATGTGAGGATAATTCTTGGTCTCACACTTACCTATTAAACGGTTTAAATTATGAAAACGGATCTAAAATAAGTTCAAAATGGATTAGACTAGACTATCTCATTGCAATACCAAACTAAAGAGGTCCCATCCCTTACATTTTTTGAGAAATAACAAAAAAATACGGGTTTCACTTTTATAACAAAATAAATTTTTAATTTTATAAATTTAAATTATGAACTTTTCATTTGTTTTTAATCTGAATCATTTGTCTATTTTTGTTAAATAAAATCAATTAAAAAAATAGATATTTTAGTCATTAAACTTAATAAAAATAGATTTTTTAGACATTTTATATATCCTACATCAAGTTTAATAGTGAAAATACTTCTTTTTTTTTTTGGTCAATTTTTGTTTATGAATAGGCAAATGATTTAGATTTAAAATAAATCAAAATTGTAGGATTTAAATTAATAAAATTAAAAATTCAGAATTTATATTGTTACAAGGGTTAAATTCTGATTTTTTTTTTTTTTTTTTTTTGTGTGGGATAATATAATTGTTGGATCTTTACAAATTTATATTGTTTAAAGGGTTAAATTTTGATTTTTTTTTTTTTTTTTTTTTGTGTGTGTGATAATTATCCCTACATTTTTACTATGGTGCAAATTTTGTGTGTAAATGGTGCAATTCATTAATCTATTGCGTGTAGTTAAGGCATTCTCTCTCTAAGATGACCGTTGGTAGTGATATTGGCACCGATGAAACATCAACAGAGGAGCAAGATCACCTTGATCGGAGCAAGAAAAAAGTGAAAGCTACAGAAACATCTAGTGAGGAACTCCTGGAAAAGAACGATGAGTAGATGGTGGAGGAAGAGGGGGTTTGAAACAGTACCAAGGTTAGGGAATCAAAAAAGGACATGGGCATCCATAAGTCCTTCAAACAAGTCCTTTTGCGATCCAGATTCAATGAAACTGAGAGAGAACGCAGTGTTGATTGTGAAGCGGCCTATCCCTCTTTCGATGAAGAAATGAAAAATAAGAAGGAAACAAAGGCTAATTTGGAGGAGAAAGGGACATCATCGAACCCGATGGCTAAACTACCTGCTAGCCTCCTTAAAAAGTGAGAGAACCATGGAAGAAATGTCTCTTTGTAAGACTGTTGGGAAGGAATATTGGCTATAATTTGTTTCTAAACAGAATAAGGAAGGTGTGGAATCTACAAGTCGGTTTTGAAACTTTGGATATTGGAAATGGGTTCTTTATAGTGAAATTTGAAATGATGGAGGATTACACGAAGGTTTTCACCGGAGGACCTTGGGTAGTGATGGATAGATACGTGATAGTTCGTAAATGGCAACCTGATTTTAAATTTGATGAGACAGAGAAGGATACAATGGCAATTTGGGTCTGATTTCCTAATCTGCCCATTGAGTATTATGATGATAAGGTTCTATACCACATCTCGAAGGTGCTCGGTACTCCATTGAAGGTTGATATTAGCACTGCCATGGCAGCACGAGGGAAATATGCAAGGGTCTGTGTTGAGATAGACTTGCATAAGCCACTTATTTCGCGTATCACTATTGGACGATACCACTACGTGGTAGAATATGAACACTTGCACACGTTGTGTTTTTCTTGTGGTCGTGTTGGCCACCGGAAAGAAAAGTGCACTGAATTTCCAGTGATACAGCCGAAGAAAATGATACAAAATGTGATTGTTACCCAACCAGAATCTAATAATGGACCAGGAACATCACAGCCCACTGGGCAAAAGAAGGAGGAAAGATATAATTTGGAAGAGAAACAAGGATATGGGCCGTAGACTATAGCACCCAGTAGAAGGAAATTTCAACAAGAGAAGCAGAAACATAAGGCCCATTACCAAAAGAGCAACATATTTGAAGTTTTACAACTGGATAAAGATCATGGTGAAAATAGTGAAGGCCAAAAGAGGAGTAAAGCCCAGGGAAATTATGTGGATCTAGACATGGACACTAATACGGCTACAGGAGCTACATCTAGTGCCCAAAATACGGGACCTCTGGATACACTATTGCAGACCTCACCAGTAATGGATGTGGACTCAATACATGCTGTGGAGGATAGGAAGCATGATACAGAGATGGGTATTGCACATGGGCTAAGTGGAAATAAGGAGTTCCAGCAAGCTAATCAGCCCAGTATTCTCAATCTAAGCCCACAAGCTAGAGTGGGTGATAACAAAAGTCAAGGGAACCCTAATTCTAATTATGGTTCCAAGCCACTCACTGGCCCTCATAGCTCACCTGGTTTGCCAGTTGATAAACTCTTAGCAAATCGATTGAGAGCAAGAGGAGGGAAGTCACTGGATCTAAGCAAGTCTCTGGAGGACCGATGGAAGAAGTTGCCGAGATCACTCGGATGACAGAGCACCGTGTGGACCATTGCAGAACTCTGCTATTTTTAGAACTCGAGAAAGAAGTATATCTCTACGTCAGAATAGATTGGTGGTTAGACGAAGTGAAGCTTCTGATCCAACCATAGTGGGAGCTAGACTTGCATAATGTGAGACACATGGTGCTTGTGAAACCAGCAAAAGCAATGGAGAAAGACTAGAAAAATGTGAAAAGCATTCTGGGTCTATCTGAGGTAAAGAACTGGCCCACCATTCCAATGTCGCCAATGGACTGCTGATATGGAACTGTAGGGGTGGTTGTAATGACCGATTCCGGCGGAATCTACGTGAGTTGGTTCAAATGCATAAACTTGATATGCTTATACTCATGGAGACCAAAGTGGAATTAAATAAGATGGGTATGTTTTTCAATAATTTGGGGTATACTGCCTCAACACATGTAGATCCCATTGGAAAAAGTGGAGGTATATGGTTATTATGGAATCCTAACCAAATCAATGTTTGTGTAAATGACGCATGTTCCCAGATAATTACTACTACAATTTCTCGCCAAGATTACCCGGACTGGGTTCTTTCCGCCATTTATGCGAGTCCAAATACCAGGATAAGAGATGAACTCTGGAATGATTTGGAAACAATGGCATAAAATATACAAGAACCATGGCTGGTAGCAGGGGATTTTAATGATTATTCAAGCTCAACAGAAAAAAGGAGCTACTCTGTTAATCAAAGCCAAAACTCAAGCCAAAGCCAAAGAAGGAGTCAAAAATTCACTGATAGAGTTAACAACTGCAATCTTATGGACCTAGGATGTGTTGGTCCTAGGCTTACTTGGACTAACAACAGGAAAGGGTGGGCTAATACTATGGTGAGATTGGATAGGGCCCTCTGTAACACAGAATGGAGAACTCTATTTCAGAGGGATATGTTCGAAACTTGCCTCGCACATATTCATATCATTCTCCCCTCATAGTACACACTCAAGGTACGCGACTTTATAACCCTCTGCGTATTTCTTTTAAATTCCAAGTTGCTTGGATCACTCATGAGGGATTCCGCTCTCTAGTTGAAAATAACTGGCCTATTCATAACCAACAGAATTTGTTGAGAAATTTGGATTGCATGACAATTGCAGTAATGGATTGGAACAAAAATGTTTTTGGTAATATCTTTAGACGAAAACGATGGCTGCTTGGTAGGATCAATGGAATCCAAATTTCTCAAGCCAAAAATTATTCTCATAATTTACATCAACTGGAAAATGAGCTCATTGAGGAGTTTAATAAAGTCCTATATCAGAAAGAGTTGTTTTGGTTTCAAAAATCTCGCACAAATTAGATAACTCAGGGTGAGCGCAATACCAAATTTTTCCATCTGTCTACCATTATGAAGAAAAGGAAGACAAAAATTTTAGTTTTGAAAAATGATGATCCTAATAAATTAAAAAACCTTGTGGCTGCTCATTTTCACAAGATTTTTACTTATAGCCACACTATTTGCCTTGATCATTGGAATAATTTGACTAAACATATAAGCCCTGATGATCAAATTGAGATGAGTAGGGAAGTTTCTGATGTTGAGATTTAGAGGGCGGTTAAAAACATCAAAGCCTTCAAGGCCTCAAGTCCCGATGGGTACCAAGCCATTTTCTATCACACCTTTTGGGATATTGTGGGCAAGAGTGTGATTGATTTTATTCAAAATTGTTTCTCTTCTTGTTACATTCCCCCAGAGATAAATAGAGCCTTTATAGCTCTCATTCCTAAAGTTTCTAACCCTGAGACCGTGAAATAGTTTCGGCCAATCAGTTTGTGCAATGTAACCTATAAAATTATTTCCAAAATCCTTGTCAACCGCATCAGGCCTCTCCTTGAGAATATCATTAGCCCGAATCAAAGTAGTTTCATTCCGAGTAGATCCACTCATGATAACATCATCATTACTTACGAAGCAATACACACTTTGAGGAAGAAAAAAGGGAAGGTGGGTTACATGATTTTTAAAGTAGATCTTGAAATGGCTTATGACAACATATCTTGGAACTTCCTTAAACAAACTTTAAAAGAGTTCCATTTTGATGAGAAGATGGTGGATTTGATCCTTAGTTGTGTCACTAGTGTGAGTACTGCTATTTTATGGAATGGTGAACCTCTTGATGAGTTCCACCCAGCTAAGGGTTTAAGACAAGGGGATCCTCTATCCCCTTACCTTTTTGTGCTATGCATGGAAAAGGCTCTCTGTTATGATTAACCAGAAAGTGCATGAGAAAGAGTGGATTGGTCTAAGATTGACTAAGAATGGTCCTAATTTATCTCATTTATTTTTTGCGGATGATTTGATTTTGTTTGCTAAAGCTAATGATCAAAATTGTTCCACCATTTTGAAAATTTTGGATGAGTTTAGTGCTACCTCTAGTTTAAAGATCAATTTAAATAACTCCCATATGTTTGTATCCCCTAATATTGAAAGGAGAAGAGCTAGAAGTTTGAGTAATATATGTGGTAGCCCCTTAACTCAAAACTTAGGGAGATACCTTGGGGTTCCTCTTCTCCACACTAGAGTAAGCAAAGATAATTTTAACTATATCCTGGAAAAACTAAAGACCAAGTTAGCTAGGTGGAAATCTGGCCTTTTGTCCATGGCAGGGAGGGCCACTTTAATTTAATCTGTGGCCAGTGCTATTCTAGATTATGCTATGCAAACTATGGAATTTCCAAGGAAAGTTTGTGATAAGATTGACAAAATAAATCAGAATTTTCTTTGGGGTGACACCCTAGAGAAAAAGAAAGTTCATCTTGTGAATTGGGACCAAGTTTGCAGGATGAAAAAAGATGGTGGTCTTGGGATTCGGAGGGCTAGAGATCAGAACCTAGCTCTCATGTCCAAGCTGGGATGGAAAGTGTTAAAGGAGGACAATTGTTTATGGGTGGCTGTGCTCAAAAACAAATATTTGGGGAAGCAACCCCTCTTACACAAGAAAAAAGGCAAGAATATTTCTCATATATGGAAAGGCATCCTTAACTCAATGGAGCTTCTTGTTAAAGGGGTGAGATGGAACCTTGGAAGAGGGTCCAAAGTTAGAGTTTGGAAAGATTGGTGGTGTGGTGATTGAGTCCTTGAACAGGATTTGAGCATTCCCACTTACCCACTCCCAAATTCTGGGAATACCACTGTGGATTCCCTTCTTGAGGAGAATGGTGAATGGGATTTGAATCATATGCATAACCTTTTACCAAGGAATATGGTTGTGGAAATTCTGAAAATGTAACCTCCTCGAAATAGGGATGAAGTGGATACTCCTAGATGGGTTAAATCCCCTGATGAAGAATTCTCTACGTCAAGTGCATATGAATTAATTGTTGATCACCAAAGTCAAGAAGGGGATTGGGGTTGGAAATGGAAGCTTAAGCTCCCCCGTAAGCTTAAGAGATTTGTGTGGCTTGTTCTCCATGAGAAAATCCTCACAAATCTTATGAGACAATTGAGGGGCCTTACTAATGACCCAAAATGCCCATGTTGTGAAAACTTGGAGGACATTGATCATTTATTACGGTTTTGTCCCAATGCTGTGCAAGTTTGGTGTCAAATATTCAGTCCGGAATGGTACTCTAACATGCTCAATTTGTCTTGGCCCGAATGGATCATTCAGAATGTTAAAGGGAGGAACAAATCTCCTCATCTGTTCCTTATTACCATATGGACTATTTGGAAGAATAGGAATAAAATGGTTTTTGAAAATAAACATACAAACTTGCATCAGAGTGTAAAAAGTATATTAACTTTTGCTAAGGAAATTTTTCAAGCTTTCAAGTTAGATATCACAACACCTCTAAAATATAAAAGTCTAACTGTATGGTCTTGTCCAAGTGCAGGAACAATCAAATAAAACACGGACGATAGCACTCGACGCAATAGAGGAGGTGGCGGTTTTGGTGGACTTTTTCGGGATGAGACTGGATCATGGATTAGTGGCTACTATGGAAGACTAGAGATATGCACTAGCCTTGAAGCGGAACTTTGGGCTGTTTATAAAGGGCTCACAATCATTCTCCAACGTGGACTAAATCAAGTGGTCATTGAAACAGATGCAGAGCAAGTGGTGCAACTGTTAAGTGAAGATCTGGGAGAGCGATGTCCCTTTCGGGGCATTGTGGAGGATGCGCGTATTATCATGAGAGGCTGCGACTGCTCAATCCAATACATCAAAAGGGAAGTCAACATATATGCAGATGCTTTGGCAAAGTTAGGAGAAAATCAACCATCTGATTTACTAATTGTCAATGATCCACCAGCGGAAATCCGTAACATACTAATTGCGGATATAGTTCACCTCTCTGAGGAGGTAGTAAGGACATAGCTCCTTTTGTTAGTCTTTCAATTCCGATGTACCCAAAAAAAAATAAAAATGGTGCAACTCCTTTATGTGGTTGGTACAAGTCGTTTATATATTAGAATTGCACCAAAAAAGATTTCATTTATAGTGTAATTATTTTTTCACTAACACGCTGATTTCTATTTTTTTTTTATTGAAAAAATTACAAATTAGTGACCAAAAATAATTACAAAGAAGTGGGAGTGTAATTTTCTTTTATTATTTTGACTAAATAGTAATTCTTCATTTTTTTTAAAGAAATTATTACAGCTCAATGTAAAAATAATTGTATGTGTAACTTTTTTGTTGAATAGTTCTTTAACATCGCTGACCGCACCTCTCGTTTGGTAAATATTTTGGAATTAAAAAAATATAAAAAGGTAAAATAGATTATATAAAGGGAAAATTGGCCTAAGGTCCCTCCTCTACTTTTGATATGAGGAGAGGTCCTTTATAATATGTTTTGATGGCTAAGGTACCTCAAATTTATTTTAGGTTATAAAGTACCTAAATTACCCTTCCTTTATAACATAAATTTGTTTGAATATTATATGGTTGAGTTAACTGATACATTTTGGAAACCGAATTTGAAGGGGAGATTTTGTCGGAGTTTTCGTCGGAGATTTCAGTGGAGATTTTATGGTGGAGATTTCGTCGGAGATTTCAGTGGAGTTGACGAGAAAGATTGCTACGATCGTGTAGATTTTGTTGGAGATTTCGTCGGAGATTTCAGTGGTGTGATAGTGTATTGATCGCGTAGATTTTCAGTGGAGTTGAATCAGGTTTGTTTTCGATGGAGATAGCACATGCATTTTGATATTTGTTTTGAATTTTTGTGTAGAGAGAGGCCAGCTTGATAGAGTTGATTTTTATTTTTGGAATTAATTTTTCATTCTTTGTTTTTTTGATCAATTTCAGATAGTGTTGACAGTGTAGGTGATTTTGATGTTTAGAGTTCATTTTTGGTGCTCTGTTTTTTATCAACATGCTGATGAATTATAGTTGTGTTCTATGTTTTTTCAAACCAGAGAAATTTCATTTTCTGCACTATTGTTTGTGTAGTCCAGAGGAAATTATAAGTGCATATGGACATATTATTAGAAGTTTGCAATGGAGATAGAATATGAGAAAGTGAATGTAAGTTCATAAATTTCTCTATACTTGTATTTGTAGTTCAGAGAAAATTGTAAGTTTGTTACTCACTTTCAGTTTGTAGTTCAGAGAAAAGGAGGTTGGTTTTCAGTTTACGTATGTTAAAAATGACAAGCTGAGGGTTACGGCAGAATGTGCATATGAGGAATCAAGGGGATGTATGTGGCGTGTACATGCTTCTGTTGAAAAAACAAATGGGTTCTTCTACATAAGGACTTTGAACAATGAACATACGTGTGGTGTGGCGGTTCGTACGAGTAAACATTCGAGGATGACTTCCAGCTTGGTTTCTGGGCTGATACTTGAAGAGGTAAGTGCAAAACCTTTAACTCGTCCAGTGGATGTTGTGAAAGGAATGAAAGACAAGTATGGGGTCTCAATTAGTTATAACTGTGGTTGGTTGAGTGTTGAGAAAGCAAAATGTAGTACATATGGGGATTCTTGTTTGTCATTTGATCAATTACGGTGGTATTTTGATGAGGCATTGAAGAACAATCCAGGGAGTCGTTTTGAGTTAGATTTTGAAGATAACAAGCGTTTCAAAAGAGTGTTTGTGGCTTTTCATGCATGCATTGCTGGTTTCAAATATTGTCGGTCATTGCTTTTTCTTGATGGAACATTTTTGAAAGGACGATACAAAGGAGTTATGCTTGCTGCAACGGGGAAAGATGGGAATGAAGGTAATTGTAAATATATCTATTTTTATCTAAGTATGTGAATTTTCTATACATGTAGGAATTGAGTGAATGTGAATTTGAATTTTCTCTGGTTTTGGCCACTGTGTGGATTTTCTATTGTTGTGGCCACTGTGAGAATTTTCACTGGATTTTGGTCAGTGTATGAATTTTTTCTGGATGTTGTCATTGTGTGAATTGTATCTGTAGGTGGTCACTAAGTGAATTTTCTCTGTATATTATGATTGTGTGAATTTTCTCTGTAGCTGGTCACTAAGTCAATTTTCTCTGGATGTTGCCAATGTGTGAATTTTCTCTGGATGTTGGCAGTGTCAAACTTCTCTGGTTGTTTTATTGTTCTATTTTTCTCTGTTGTTTTGTAGGTGGTCACTAAGTGAATTTTCTCTGTATATTATGATTGTGTGAATTTTCTCTGTAGCTGGTCACTAAGTCAATTTTCTCTGGATGTTGCCAATGTGTGAATTTTCTCTGGATGTTGGCAGTGTCAAACTTCTCTTGTTGTTTTATTGTTCTATTTTTCTCTGTTGTTTTGTAGGTGGTCACTAAGTGAATTTTCTCTGTATATTATGATTGTGTGAATTTTCTCTGTAGCTGGTCACTAAGTCAATTTTCTCTGGATGTTGCCAATGTGTGAATTTTCTCTGGATGTTGGCAGTGTCAAACTTCTCTTGTTGTTTTATTGTTCTATTTTTCTCTGTTGTTTTGTAGGTGGTCACTAAGTGAATTTTCTCTGTATATTATGATTGTGTGAATTTTCTCTGTAGCTGGTCACTAAGTCAATTTTCTCTGGATGTTGCCAATGTGTGAATTTTCTCTGGATGTTGGCAGTGTCAAACTTCTCTTGTTGTTTTATTGTTCTATTTTTCTCTGTTGTTTTGTAGGTGGTCACTAAGTGAATTTTCTCTGTATATTATGATTGTGTGAATTTTCTCTGTAGCTGGTCACTAAGTCAATTTTCTCTGGATGTTGCCAATGTGTGAATTTTCTCTGGATGTTGGCAGTGTCAAACTTCTCTTGTTGTTTTATTGTTCTATTTTTCTCTGTTGTTTTGTAGGTGGTCACTAAGTGAATTTTCTCTGTATATTATGATTGTGTGAATTTTCTCTGTAGCTGGTCACTAAGTCAATTTTCTCTGGATGTTGCCAATGTGTGAATTTTCTCTGGATGTTGGCAGTGTCAAACTTCTCTGGTTGTTTTATTGTTCTATTTTTCTCTGTTGTTTTGTAGGTGGTCACTAAGTGAATTTTCTCTGTATATTATGATTGTGTGAATTTTCTCTGTAGCTGGTTACTAAGTCAATTTTCTCTGGATGTTGCTAATGTGTGAATTTTCTCTGGATGTTGGCAGTGTCAAACTTTTCTGGTTGTTTATTGTTCTATTTTTCTCTGCATGTGTGTATCTAATATGTTTGTTCCTATTTGTTTTGTAGGTTTTTTTCCTGTAGCTTTTGCTGTTGTTGATGCTGAGAATAAAGACAATTGGTGTTGGTTTCTTGAACATTTATATGGAGTATTAGGATTAGAAAGGGTGATAAGTTTCATATCAGATCGACATTGTGGAATTGTGGAGGGAATTGCTAGGTTTTTCCCTAACTGTTTTCATGGATTTTGTCTGGAACATCTAAAGAGAAATTTGAGGGATAAGTTGTCATGTGGAAACACAAATTTGGTTAGGGAGACGATTGTGTCCAAGTTTTCAGAATGTGCATATGCTCCAACAAAGGCATCATTTCATTTCAAGTTAAATGAGTTAAAAAGTGAGGGAGGAGACATTGTGAGTGTTTTCTTGAGAAGTTTACCATATGAAAATTGGAGTGATGCATATTTTGCAGGGAAACGTTATGGTGAGATGTATTCAAATGTTGCTGAGTCATTCAATTCATGGATACGAAAAGCTCGGCACTTGCCAATAACAAATTTGGTGAACATGATACGGCTACAAATCATGAATATGAGGTCTGATAGGAGGCTGCTCTCCAGTAAATGGAATAAAGTTCTCTGTCCTCGTATAGTAAATGGAATAAAATTTTGTGTCCTCGTATGGATAGTGTGTTGGAAAAGTCTTTTTTGGATGGGAGGACATGGAATGTGAGTTTATCATCTGATAATGTCTTTGAAGTGCATTGTTTTCCTTCGGTTATGGTTGATCTTGGGTTGAAAACTTGTTCATGTCGAAAATGGGAAATAACTGGGTATCCATGTCAACATGCTGTTGCTGCAATTTTTAGGAGTGGAAAGAATTTGAATTCATTTGTTGAACCATTTTTTCATGCTGATATGTATCGTCAAGCATATTCGTTTTCGATTGGCCCAGTTTCAACTGTTGGAAAACCTATGTGTAGCATTGAAGATGCTATGATTTTACCTCCATTGAGCAAGAGACCTGTTGGGAGGCCGAAGAAAAACAGAATTGCTTCTATTGGAGAGTTTAAAAGGGTGATTAAGTGTAGTCGTTGTGAGAGTATTGGTCACCATAATAACAAGACGTGCAAGGAACCTTTGTTAAATAGTTGAGGATTATACATTTTATTGATGGAATAATACATTTGATGATTACTTTGTGTATTTTGTTTTGTGAAATTTATTTTTTGGACAGTGTATATAATAATATCAATCAAATTCATCCAGAGAAATTTTTCAATATCAGTTAAAGTGTGCATTGTGTTTGTTGATATATACTATAGGCAGTGGGTTTGTAGTACCTGTCAAATTCATCCAGAGAAATTTTCCTATGGCAGAGAAAATTCTGTGTGTTGTGTTTTGAAGCTTCATATTCATCCACATAAATTTGACAATGGCAGACTAAAGTAATGTGTGGATTGTGTTTTTTAAATTTGATAATTGTTTTGTACTAACACAGTGCATTAGAGATTAAATGATCATATAGGCACCTTCTTTGGCGAGATATGAGTTAAATTTCTCTGTGAATTTCTGGTAGCTTCATACCAGTCATTTCAAGAAATGTGCACACCAGATAGAGCATACAAAAAATTATTGTATAACCAAGAAACAAAAGTAAGCTCTTTTGAAATTTCTCTAAGTTGAGAATTTCTCTAGACCAGGGAAGAATTTCTCTGGACTCACTTCAACTCAGAAATTTGTATCAAAGCCAGAGAAAATTTCCTCACCAACACGGAGAAATTCCTCTTCTCCAAATCACTCAACCCAGTGAAATTCATAACTCAGAAATTCCATTTTCTGTCACCATTTGAATCCGTCAATTTCATCCAGAGAAATTTTCCACCATCAGAGAAAACTATCTGGGCATTGTGTTTTGAAATTTGAAATTCATGCAGTGAAATTTTCCAGTGGCAGATAAAATTACTGTTTGCTTTGTGTTTTGTTGAGTTTGATGATTGTTTTGTACCAATACAAAGTATTACAGATTACATGATCATATAGGCATCCCCTTGGGACGATACAAGTTAAATTTCTTTGTGAATTTCTGGTAGTTCATACCAGAGAAATTTTTGTAGACAATTTTCTCTGGCAGACAATTTTCTCTGTGAATGACAATAAAAAAATATATATATATATATATATATTTAACCATCGATAGGTATAAAATTCACATTAGTTGAAATAAAAAAAAATGAAATTTAGATTAGTCAAGAAAGAATATATACATATATGTCAAGGATCAACATTCCTTCAATGTATCAACAAAAACCTGAATGGTTAATACTGTATGGATATATACATATATGTGAGACAATTTTCTATATGTGGATATGTACATTGTCTTCCTTTCACTAGTTTCACTATTACATTTATGGTTCTTCTGGAGGTATTTCAATTGGTTCAGTCCATGATCGGCCAACTTCGGTCACAAATCTCTCTATGAGTTCTGCCCTCATCAACCTTATCTCTTGTGTGGACAATTTGGAGCTGACAGGTTCATGCTTGCTATATTGTTTCATTGTATAACAGACAATGAGGCCACAATCCAGACTGCATACAAATTATAGGTATGGTTAGTTTTAAGAAACATGCAAATCAGATTATCTTATTTATAGATGTATGAAACTTACGAATCATTTTCTTGTTGTGGAGTATTGTTGACATACTCAAAGTCGTAACTTGTGTTTTGTGAGTTTATTAATTTGAAAGAGGGTTGTGATTGAGCGTCTCTTTCAAGGCAAGCTTTCAAAAAATTCTCCACGTAATCTTGCTAAAAAAAAATAATTTTTAAATAACAGAGAAATTTACGGACAAATCAATGGCATTCTATGAAAATTATCATCACATAAAGCTGATGATGGATCAGAGAAATTTACACTCGTTACCAATTGTTTTGCATCGTTGACATATTTGTCTTCTGCATCATCCCTCCTTGGCCTCAGTGAGTTGTGGAACGTCCATAAATTGTCTTGTTTGTCCAGGACAAGCAAGGTCCAGTGATTTTCACATGTGGACTTGTCATTACCTCCAGTATTTATTAGGAAATGGAGGAACCTGTAGTTCTTCCATGCTGTTTCAATATGCTTGTCAAATAAGGACACTCGAAAAGATTGATTTTCTGTCATCTTGATGAAATTCTGTGTTTAGAGAAAATCAAAAAATGGTTTTGTTATGACTAGTGACACAACTGGCTTCAATAAGCATTTTACGAAGAGAAAGTAGTAAGTAATTTCCAAAGAAAATCAAATAAAATAGTAGTAACATACTAAGCTTATGGATGTGAAAAAAATGAGATTGGTTGTTGTCTCTCTCTTATTTGGTCAGCCAAAAGGATCTTTCCATAGCCATCAATGACTTGAAAAATATGATTTATAATTGTAATATTGGTTTATAAAGGCTGATAGAACATTGCAAAGAAATTTTGATGAAAGGGAAAGACTTACTTTGCTGGCAATTTCTTTTTGCTTTATTAGGTTTCCAATGTCTTCAAAGGTAATGAGATTCAACTCACTTGTCCAAATTAAAGCGCTACAAGATGACGAGGATTATACATTTTATTGATTGAATAATACATTTGATGATTACTTTGTGTATTTTGTTTTGTGAAATGTATTTTTTAGACAGTGTATATAATAATATCTATCAAATTCATCCAGAGAAATTTTCCAATATCAGTTAAAGTGTGTTTGTTGATAAAGCTCTACAAGATGACAAAGAAGGGATTGAATTGTTGTTAATGCAACATAAGTTTGTAATTTGTTGTTTGTTATGTTCTATTTTGTTTGTTGTACTTACTCAAGCCCAGACACATTTGATATGTGCTGCAAGATGTCTTTTATATGATCTTTTATCAATCTTGAAATTGGAAGAGTTTGTGGAAAGACTCAAGATTTTCTGATGTTTATAGGTTGAGGCAAGACGTACGCATCAGCATCAAGCACTTCTTTGTCCTTCGTGCTTTGCTCAACTTGCTTTACAGCTTGTTTTGAAGCTCTAGTCAGTTTTGCAACTTTGAGATATTGGTTGAAATAATATTGATTTTCTGAATATGTTGAGGGTTGTTTGTGCACGTGGTGTTGATATAGTTGATGTTTCAATTATTAGGTGTAGTACTTCTGATCAAGAGGATGAAGTGAGGTCTAATTGGGTAGATGTTGTGCATGGTGAATGTGATAGGGTCGTGGATTTTGAAAAGAATTCACTCTCTAAGTTTTGTTCTCACCAAGAAAAGGTGTTATTGTCAGCTGGTTGGCGAAATAATATTACGAGTGTTGGAAAAAAGTTTGAGGGTGGTATGGTTGAGTTCCGTACTGTTTTATGCAAGTATGTTATTGAGGTTGGTTTTCAGTTTACGTATGTTAAAAATGACAAACTGAGGGTTACGGCAAAATGTACATATAAGGAATCAAGAGGATGTATGTGACGTGTATATGCTTCAGTTGAAAAAACAAATGGGTTCTTTTACATAAAAACTTTGAAAAATGGACATACGTGTGGTGTGGCGGTTCGTACTAGTAAACATGCTAGGATGACTTCCAGCTTAGTTTCTGAACTGATACTTGAAGAGGTAAGTGTAAAATCTTTAACTTGTCAAGTGGATGTTGTCAAAGAAATGAAAGACAAGTATGACGTCTCAATCAGTTATAACTATGGTTGGTTGGGGGTTGAAAAAGTAAAATGTAGTACATATGGGGATTCTTGTTTGTCATTCAATCAATTACAGTGGTATTTTGATAAGGCATTGAAGAACAATCTAGGTAGTCGTTTTGAGTTAGATTTTGAAGATAACAAGCATTTCAACAGAATGTTTGTACCTTTTCATGCATGCATTGCTGGTTTCAAATATTGTCGGTAATTGTTGTTTCTTGATAGAACATTTTTGAAAGGACGATACAAAGGAGTTATGTTTGCTGCGACAGGGAAAGATGGGAATGAAAGTAATTGTAAATATATCTAATTTTCTTTAAGTATGTGAATTTTCTATACATGTGGGAATTGAGTGAATTTTCTATTTTTGTGGTTATGTTTTGTGATTTTTCTCTGACACTTTGAATTTTCTCTGGAGGTGGCCACCGTGTGAATTTTCTCTAGATTTGGTCAGTGCGTGAATTTTCTCTAGATGTTGGCACTGTGTGAGTTTCCTCTATAGTTGGTCACTACGTGAATTTTCTCTAGAAGTTGCCACTGTGTGAATTTTCAGTGAATTTTATCTGGATGTTTATTGTTCTAATTTTCTCTGCATGTGTATATCTAATATGCCTATTCCTATTTGTTTTGTAGGTTTTTTCCTATAGCTTTTGTCGTTGTTGATGCTGAGAATAAAGACAATTGGTGTTGGTTCCTTGAACATTTATGTGAAGTATTGGGATCGGAGAGGGTGATAAGTTTCATATCAAATCGACATTGTGGTATTGTGGAAGGAATTGTTAGGTTTTTCCCTAATTGCTATCATGGATTTTGTCTTGAACATCTAAAGAGAAATTTGAGGGATAGGTTATCATGTGGAAACAAAAATTTGGTTAGGGAAACGGTTGTGTCCAAGTTTTCAAAATGTGCATATGCGCCAACAAAGGCATCATTCCATTTCGAGTTAAATGAATTAAAAGGTGAGGGATGAGACATTATGAGTGTTTTCTTGAGAAGTTTACCATATGAAAATTGGAGTGATGCATATTTTGAGGGGAAACGTTATGGTAAAATGTATTCAAATGTTGTTTAGTCATTCAATTCATGGATACGAGAAGCTCGACACTTGCCAATAACAAATTTGGTGGACATGATATGATTGCAAATCATGAATATGAGGTCTGATAGGAGGCTGCTCTCTAGTAAATGAAATAAAATTCTCTGTCCTCGTATGAATAGTGTGTTGGAGAAGGCTTTCATAGATGAGAGGACATGGAATGTGAGTTTATCATCTGATAATGTGTTTGAAGTATATTGTTTTCCTTTGGTTATGGTTGATCTTGGGTTGAGAACTTGTTCATGTCAAAAATGGGAAATAAATAGGTATCTATATCAACATGCTGTTGCTGCAATTTTTAGGAATGGAAAGAATTTGAGTTCATTTGTTAAACCATTTTTTCATGTTGATATGTATCGTTAAGCATACTCGTTTTCGATTGGCCTTGTTCCAACTGTTAAAAAACTTGTGTGTAGCATTGATGATGCTATGATTTTACCTCCAATGAGTAAGAGGCCAGCTGGGAGGCCAAAAAAGAACAGAATTGCTTCTACTGGACAGTTTAAAAGGGTGATGAAGTATAGTCGATGTGACAGTATTGGTAGCCGTAATTAGAGGACATACAAGGAACCTTTGTTAAATAGTTAAGAATAATACATTTTATTGGTTGAATAATACATTCAAGGATTATTTTGTGTATTTGGTTTTGTAAAATGTACTTTTTGGACAACCTGTATATAATACCAATCAAATTCATCCAAATTTTTTGTCCAATAGCAGTGAAAATGACTTTTTGTATTGTGTTTATAAAATATACTTTGGGAATGCCTTTATAATACTAGTCAAATTCAACTAGAGAAATTTGCCCATAGCAGAGAAATTTACTATGTGCATTGTGTTTGTTGAAATGTGCATTGTGTTTTGTGTGGTCAAATTCATCTAGAGAAATTGGCCAATAGCAGAGAAAATTACAGTGTGCATTGTGTTTGTAGAAATATACTATAGGCAGTGTGTTTATAATACCAGTCAAATTCATCTAGAGAAATTTTCCACTAGCAAAGATAATTCTCTGTGTATTGTGTTTTGTGAGGTTAAATTCATCTAGAGAAATTTGCCAATAGTAGACAAAATTACTGTGTACATTGTGTTTTTTGAATTTAATGATTGGTTTGTACCAACACAGTGCATTACAGATTATATGATCATATAGGTACCTTCTTGGCACGATACGAGTTAAATTTCTCTGTGAAATTCTGGTAATTTCATACTAGAGAAATTTCTGCAGACAATTTTCTCTATGTGGATTGTATTGACAATAAAAAATATATATTTAACCATTGATAGCTATGAAATTTATATTAGTCAAAAAAAAGATATATACATATATGTCAAACTTTATCATTCCTTCAATATATAAAAAAACAAATTGAAGGATTATTCCTAATTACATTGTGTGCATTGTCTTCCTCTCACTAGTGTGCTTTCACATTTATACTTTTGGTTCTTCTTTTGGTAGTATTTGAATTGGTTCTGTCTATGACTAGCTAACTTCGGTCTCAAATCTCTCTATGATTTCTGCCCTTATCAACCTTACGTCTTGTGTCGACAATTTCAAGGTGATAGGTTCATGGTTGCTATATTGTCTCATTATGTAGCATACAAAGAGGCCACAATCCACTTTGTATACAAATTATAGGTATAGTTAGTTTTAAGAAACATTCAAATTAGATTATCTTATTTATAGATGTTGTATAAAACTTACGAATCACTGTCTTGTTGTGGAGCATTGTTGACATATTCAAAGTCATAATTTTTGTTTTGTGAGTCTATTAATTTGAAAGAGGGTTGTGACTGTGCCTCTCTTTCAAGGCAAGCTTTCAAAAAATTCTTCACATAATCATGCTGAAAAAAAAAAAAAAAAAAAAAATTTAAAATAACAAAGAAATTTACACACAAATTAATGGGATTTTATGAAAATTATCATCACATAAACATTTTCATGGATAAGAGAAATTTGTGCTCGTTACCAATTGTTTTGTATCTTTGATATATTTGTCTTGTGCATCATCCCTCATTGGCCTTAGTGAGTTGTAGTACCTCCATAAATTGTCTTGTTTGTCGAAGACTAGCAAGGTCCAGTGATTTCTATCAGTTGACTTCTCATTACCTCCAGTATTTATTGGGAAATGGAGGAACTTGTAGTTCCACCATGCTGTTTCAAGATACTTGTCAAATAATGAGACTCGAAAAGTTTGATTTTCCGTCATCTTGATGAAGTTTTGCGGTTAGAGAAAATCAAAAAATGGTTGTGAGAAAGTTGAAATGACAGGAATTTCAGAAATATGCACACAGAGAAATTTTAAATGCACACAACTAGCCAGAGAAAATTAGACTAGTGACACAACTGGCTTCAAGAAGTAACTTAACAAGAGAAAATAGTAAGTAAATTCTAGAAAAAATCAAATAAAAGAGTAGTAACATACCAAGCTCATGCATTTGAAAAAAAAATGAAGTTGGTTGTTGTCTTTTTCTCTTTTGGTCAGCAAATAGGATCTCTCTATAACCATCAATGACCTGAAAAATATCATTTATAATTGTAACATTGGTTTATAAAGGCTGATGGAACATTGTAGAGAAATTTGATGAAAGACTTACATTGTTGGCAATTTTTTTTTCCTTTATTAAGTTTTTGATATCTTCAAAAGTAATTAGATTTAACTCACTTGTCCAGATTAAAGCCCTACAAGATGACAAAGAAGGGATTTAATAGTTGTTAATGCAATATAAGTTAGTAAATTGTTGTTTTTCATCTTCTATTTTATTTGTTGTACTTACTCCAGTCCAGACACATTTGATATGTGCTGCAAGACATCTTTGACATGTTCTTTTACCAATTTTGGAACCGGTAGACTTTGTGGAAAAACCCAAGATTTTCTGACGCTTATTGGTTGAGGCAAGACATATTCATCGGAATCAAGTACTTCTTTGTCTTCGGTGGTTTGCTCTATTGGCTTTGTAACTTGCTTTGAACCTCTAGTGATCTTCATAACTTTAGGATATTGAAAGTCTAGATCTTGCTTTTTTTTTTCCTTTCTTTTGCCTTTAAATTCTTCATCATTGAAGTAGGATCTTTTTTCATTGTAGACAATGAATATATCAACAAAAGTTAAATTTTTCTGAAGTAACAGATCATATTTCAATATGTAAATGCCCTAAAAAATTTAATATTATCCAAAAAAATAATACTGTTAAATTCAGTTTTAATATATTAAAATCAATATTGTTCCATTTATAAAGTTGAAAAAA